ACCACGGAGACTTCATCATGGGCTGGGACGAAGAATTTTTGCAAGAAGCTGTCGACACCTGCACAAACCTTTCCGGAGAAATTAGTGATTGTGCAATCTTTGATATCCAGGACGCAAGTGTTTATGGATCTTGCAACCTTACACTTCCATCGGCCTTGGAGAATGATGATGTTGTTGGACCTATGGCGACGCTTCCCGGAAACTGCGCCGTGCAAGCAGGACCCGCTCCAGCTACTGCTATGACTGGCGCAGCCACTACCGCCAAAACAACATCAGCAGCATACGGAACTTCATCTGGCAAAGGATCAAGTGCGACTACTACAACTATCCCATCAGCCGTCGTCCCAACTCTTTCCCACTCGGCCGGATCAACCATTGGTAAGCCTACTAATCTCACTGTTTATGATTATCATTACAACTATCATGCCTAATATTGTTTTTCGATGTCAACACTCACCTTCGTTTTTTTGTGCACCCGTTCTATTTCCTATTTCCTAATCTAATTTCAACTTCCCGTTCTCCAAAAATCTTCTCTGTTAGGCAATTATTGACCCTCCGGTTTTACAGTCGCTTCTCTCGGACAAACCTACGTACCAGGTGGTGTTTTCGCAGCCGTCGAATCCGGAGTTTCATATTCAGACTCTAGCTCATCTACTGCCGCCACAGATGCAACTGCAGCAGTTTCAAGCTCAGCAACTACTCTTCTCACTACCTCGTCGGCATCTTTCTATTCGACCTCTTACTCAACAACCACCGCCATCTCCCCACTTAACGAAAAGGTAGAAGTTGATGAAGTAGTCTGGGTCCAAGAAGATGTTACTATTACTGTTACCGCGACTGCAACTACAACTGCAACCACAACTGCAACTGCAAGTGGCGTTGCCAGAAGAAGACATTTGCACGAGCATCAACATGCCAAGAAGAGAGGAGGACACTTCGCCTAGATGTACACGCTGTTTTTGATTTGATTTTGTGTTTTTATTGCGTTTTTGCATTCTTTTCTCGACGCAGCAATTTTGCTATTTTCATGACGGATTGATAGACTGTGAGGGAAAAGGGGTTCGGGGACATGGACATTGTAGCGGGGAGGCAGGCCTTACTGATATCATGATATGTCCTTGCGACTTTTGACATTTTTTGGCGATTTTTTGACATAGATAGAGAGAGTGGAGTTGAGATACCATTTGCATGCAAAGTTCCATACGATATTGGCGATACCAAAAAGATGGTGGAGAAGGAGTGGTAGGAGGGAGAATTGGGGGGAGATGATGTATTTAGACTTAAAAATACCACTGCATGAGAAGAATATCTGGATATGAATTTTCTGCTCATTGTATACTATTCAATGTTTGCTTCATGTGATGAATTGAGGGAGATTGAAGTATGAGTGAGATACTCCTTTGTAAACTGGATTGGGTCTTGGAACACTCCTCCATGATCACAATACAGTCTAACATCCCACCAAAGGTTTGATTAGTAAGCACTAACCTCGTCTCTGGTGCTCTTACCTTTACTTAAAATTGTGACAATGTAACAAAAACAAGATACAAAGCTATGTGAGCAGGATTTCAAGGCTGGTATATATCGACGAAAAGAAATTGATGTTTCATACACTCTCTCCGAAAGCTACTGCTGCGGAGGCGGACTTTATAACTTTAATATATTGATAATTCTGGCGGTGTAAAAATTTGAAGATTTATCCCGATGTTAGGGATTCCTTGCGGAATCGCTCATTCAAATAGCCGTCAACCACTTTTCACCGGTTGAATGTAAATAGCGGGGAAATGGAATTGGATGAACTTTATCGTGTTACCCCGCGCAAATGGTTGATCTTTAGCACACCGGCATGACCGGATAAAGTATATCTCCAGTTTAATCTTGCAGCGCGAAGACTCCGAGTGGCGAAGCGGATTATTCCATGATATTGCTGGGATGAATGAGTCGAGGAAACTGGGTTACGACAATCGAAAATCTTCACGGAGGATCTTGGCTAAATACAATCGATGAAGCTAAGTATGTGGAGAGGCGATTGTGGAGAGGCGATTTGGGAGGTACAAGATGCGATGCTATCCCGTGGGTTGAGTTGGTTAAGGCTTCTCACGATGTTTGTGTTTTCACGTCTTCAATATCTTTCTTTCCTCGTCTCTGTGGTATTCCAACATGTATCGGCACTTTCGAATTCTGATACCTCGTTGACGCTTTTGTATCAGAATAATCTTAATGCTTCTGATGATGTAAATCACCTGGGCTTTATTCTTCTGGATCCTCACTCCCCTAAAGATGCACCCGCAGCGTGTGAGGCATTGAATGAAACGCTACTCAGCAGTAGCGCTATTAAGAGCCATACATCTGATTTTCTCCTCCCGCTTTCATATCAAGCTTATCGTGGTCGCTCGTCGTCTTCTCAGCTATACATAATTAATAATGGAGTGATTTCCTACGATGCAGCTCACGGATTGAGCTTCCCGAAGTCTCCCTCTGGTAATGCAAAGCTACCGGTTCTTTGTACACAGTCTAGCGAAGAAAGTCAACCCGGAACCGCGGTTGCTACAAACGCCAATGAGGTTTCTCTTGCCGCGGGCGGGAATACATACATTGGATTCCGCAACCAGAAATCTTTCCGCTTTCTCGGGATTCCGTATGCGAATCCGGCTGAGCGATTCGTCTATTCCACCCCGTACTCGCCGACTGGGAAAACGATTCCAGCCACCGCGTATGGTGCACAGTGTCCACAATCTTCGAGTGGGAGCGAGGATTGTTTGTTTCTCAACATCCAAACTCCGTACATTCCCAAGGCGAAATCGTCGAAGGATTTGAGGCCGGTTATGTTTTGGATCCATGGTGGTGGGTTTGTTGGAGGTAGTGGTGCTGATCAGTTGAGTGATGGGGGGGATTTGGCGAGTAGAGAGGATATTGTTGTGGTGAATGTTAATTATAGACTTTCTGTTTTGGGGTTCCTGGCGATTCCTGGGACGAACATTACGGGAAATTATGGGATTGCGGACCAAATCAATGCCCTGGAGGTAAAGTGGCACATCTAATTGTTACAGTTCATTTACGGGGGCTAACACAATATCAGTGGACAGTAAAGAACATTGCTGCTTTTGGAGGGGATCCAAAAAGAATCACCATCATAGGAGAATCCGCTGGTGCAGGATCTGTCCGCACACTTCTGGGCTCGCCACCCGCAATTGGCAAATTCCAAGGAGCAGTCGCCATGTCCAATCTGGGTGGTGGCGTCGACCTTGGTCTTACCAGTGACTATGCAACTACCTACTCCTCATATCTCACCATCCCCGAATCCTATGCTCTCGCCGGCCAAAACATTTTCCTAGCAGCGGGTTGTAACCAGTCTAGCTTGTCTGTCCAAATTGCGTGTTTGAAGAATGTGCCCGCTCTAGATTTGGTTGCGGTCGGCTCTGAGGCGCGTTATGTTGTTCAGGATGGTCACTATGTCAATACAGCTGAACTCGACCTTGTGAATCGCAATGGAAGCACCGCTCACGTCGATGTGATCTTCGGCATCACTGCCAACGACGGTGCATCCATCGGCACCAACTACCCGTCCACCCCCGTCACATCCGAAGTCTCCGGCATCGCGACTTCCCTCGGTATATCCACATCTTACGCTCAATCCATCATCGACAGCGGCCTCTTCCCCTTCTACGACACGGGAAACCTCACGCTCGACGCCTTCAACGTGTCGCAGCGCGTCGCCACGGATAAAGATTTCCGCTGTGTGGACCAAGCGACCGTGTATGCCGGCTCGAAAAATGGCGTCTTCAAATCAAGCTACTTCTACGAGATGGGACGCACGGTTGCGGGCTATGATCCGAATGGACTCGGGGGACCGCCGTCTTCGCCGGGGTATCCGGATGGGAATCCGCATTTGCCGTATTTTCGATTTCATGGCGCGGATATGCCGTGGGTGTTTGGCGCGTTTAATACGGGCTTGAAGTTTAGAGATCAGGAGGACTGGTGGAGTGTCCAGTTGAGTGTGGCGTATTTTGGGGCGTTTGTAAGGACCGGGAATCCGAATCCTGATGAGGGGTTCTTGGAGAGTAGAGGGTATGCGACTGTGCAGAAGGGGGTGAAGGGGGTGGGGAGGTGGAAGGAGGTCGGTGTGGGTGGGGAGAAGGGGAGTATGATGGTGATTGATTGGCCGGGGAGGGTGGAGGATTTTGCGGATTTGGATCAGTGTGATTGGTTGGGGTATCCGGTGGATTATTACGTTAAGGGGGGGATTTAAGTTGACTTTGTTCATATTTTGGATTGGAGTAGGAAGGGGTTGAAGATTAGATTAAATTGAAGTGATGTGTATCATATGACGTATTCCTGCATCTCAGGAAAATCTAACATCTTTCAAACCAACCTGATAGTTTTCCGATCCCATCCCACCCCATCGAATTTCTCCTGCATGGACGCTTCATCCTCAGCATTCTTCTCATAACTCGTCAAACTCAATCTCACCAATCCCACTCTCTCATACAAAGCCATTCCACCACCCCCCCAATCTTTTCTCTCTGTGCAGCAACCCCTTCATCTGCATCTGCATCTCCATCACCCCTCCCCATCTCCCCCCTCGCATCCAGCATTCTCAAAACCAGCATATCCGCACACCTACTCACTTTCCACTAATCCGCCTCTCCCACTTCCACATCGAGATCGCCCGCTCCATACATTGCGAAGTAATGAAGCTTCCTCTCTTCCAATTCCTGCATTCCGGATTCTTGCCGCGCGTCGCGTCGGGGACCGCAGCGGCAGCATGGACAGTCGAAGAGGGGGGATTGGTCGAGCACGAGATGGATTGTGTATTTTGGGAAGTGGGGCGCGAAGTGCGCGTATAGGTGGAGGATGCTGGTGAGGGACGCTTTGCACTCGAGAGAGGGAGATGTGGGATGGGGATGGGGATGGGCAACGGGGAGGGAAGAGGATGGATAGGTGGATGAGGAATGGGAATGGGAATCGTGGGAAAGAAGATGCGGGATGTGTTTATCTATCTAGGATGCGTGGGTCGAGTGTACATGAAGGATGGAAGGGGCATAGCTCGTGTACGTGTGGGAAATCGATCTCTGTACACTCTCCCAACTCCAGCTTGGGGCATGGGCGTCACGATTTGGTGTTAGCAGTGCGTTTACGCGGCTCCATGCAAGTCCGCATGCGATATTTGTGGTGAAGATTCTAGAGGGGTTTGTGCCGAATGTGTTATTATCTATGATTTTTGTGAGGAGCGAGAGTGCGTTGGATTTAGCGAGGTGAGAGGGAAAGGTGGTGCGGGAGATGGTGTCGATGAGTTGGTACCAGACTTCTAATCTCTGTGCATAGTCGTTGAGAGTCGATGTCTGAGTGGTATCCTGTGGACTGGGGTTTGAGACATTTCTAGCTCCTCGAGAAAGATATTCCGTGATGTAGGGCTGCGTCAGTTTTTTCTGATACGTTCCTCTGATCATCCCACTCCCATATTGCGCATCTTCCACATTCGACGCTTCGAAGTTCCATCCATCAGAGCACTCCCAAATCAACTGACGTTTAGTGAAATGCAACACTCTCGGAGCGAGGACCCGTTCAATAAATGCCCAGCCGGATGTCGAAAGAGGAGAGGAACCGAGATCGGCGTGATTGCGAAGACAGCTTAGACGGAGATGACGGTCTTTGTTGGTACCAAGGGGAGGAGAATTGAAAATTGCTCGATCTTGGATTAAGCCATCTGTGGGAGAACTTACGTTATCAGCGGAAAGAAGGAGAGTTGCTTGGGCGAAGATTGATATAAGATCGAGGGGATCGTCTGACACGTGACAGAGAGCGACGATGTAGATGTATTCAAATCCTAGGCGTCGGGTAATGGTGAATGCATCTGTAAAGGCTTTAGGAAGTGAAGTGGTATCTAAGGAATTCCCCGTTGTTTCTAAGATAGAGAGATTTTCCAGCGTAGGATCCTCCCTGGTGTCCTCCGTCCCCACAAACGAACGAGCGCTCAATGAGAGATAATCTATAGATGCTAACCCAAAAGTCTCAATAAGCACTGGAGCTTCTTCAACATCACTTGATATCCTAACGAGTCCTAAAGTAAACCCTCCACGTGCCGTCCAGCCCGACAAATCTCATGATCCAACCCACAATCCCTCATCCAATTCCCAACCCCCTCAAGCCCATTTTCAGCACCCAAACTCACCGGAACATTCTTCACCCGATCAACCGGTAATCCCTTCTCCTCATTATCCAACCGTCCCCCCCCCCCGCATAATCTGCTCCCGCACAAACATCAAACCGCATCTCCATACTCCCCCACCCCTTCCTATCCAGTCTCTCCACATCCCTCATATCCAAACAATGCATATACAGAAAAATAATCCTATCTCCCAATTCCTCTCGCGAATTCGCGTAGCGAGATGAATGATGGAGAATAGTTGTGAAATAGAGACATGCTTCACAATGACTTGAAGAAGAAGTAGGAGTAGGAGTAGGAGTAGGATCAATCATCAGACGACTTTTCTCGAACAGGGAATCGTATGAACCGAGTAGGATATCGGCATGCGAGTCTGTGAGATCGATCGCGTTGCATTGGGGACAGAGAGGCATTGAGATTTTGGAATTTGTTAGGATATTTCCTTAGATGAGATGGATGGATGGATGGATGGGGTATTGATGATGTGGTGTTTGGAAGCTTGAGGCGCGTCAGGCTTACGGTGGCGCTGCTTTTGGATGTTCCATGCTTAGAATGGGGAGAATCTTCGCTTAACTTATGTTGATCAATTGGGTCATTGTATTTTTACACTCTATGCGACAGGTGGTGGTATTCACTCTTTTGTGGGATATTGAATCGGTGCTATCTGTTATAGTCTTGAAATTTGCATGGAAGAATAATTGTGCCAGAAGAGAGAGGTTTATAATAAGAAGATTTGTAACAACTCAGTGTGATACGTATACCACAGATTATTGAGATGCCTATTCCGGATCCCCGCATTCTACATAAGAGGTGGTGATCCTCGCGATTGCTATGGAAAAACGTGATAATACCATTGCTTATGTGGTATATTCCGCGGACCCATCAAATTCATTGCTCAAGAGGTGATCCGTCACCCTTTTGCAAAACCTCTTCTCGAGAAACATACTCTGTACTGCGAGCTGATATTTTCTAGTCGACTACTAACGAGAGCCGTCTATTATGTATGATTGTTAGCCGGGTACGCTCAGGGGTAAAGTGATCTAACTCACTAGGTTCAACTGAGGGGACCATGCGAACTTATCTTCACATGGTTGAGTTGCAATTATTCTCTTGACAAGCCGCTGCCATTTCCACTACCATTTCCTATCGAGGATAAGACTATTGATTTGTTGTCCAGTCGAGCCAGTCTCGATAGAAGGATGGGAAGCGTGGTGGCCTTACTAAATTCAGGAAGTCCATTGACGATTGCTTCAGTGGGGATTTCTTCACAGTTCCACGCTCCAGTCATATGAAACTTTGCGTCTGTCAAAATTGACGGTTGACGCACGATACCGATATGCCTCTCTTATCACTGACAGTGGCATCTAGGACCTAAGTCTAGGAGCGTGCTAGTGTGCCTCCGCCATTATAGTAGAGATTTTATTCTACCCCCCCCCCCCCCCCCCCCCCGCTTTGCCGGTAAAGCTCCTTTCCTTTTTGGGAAGCGGAATCGCTTGTTTCTATTTTCACTGTACGAGCAGCTTGGATGGTATTTTAGTTCACCCACATCACTTCCTTGAACTTTTGTCTGCAAAATTCCCATCCATCCGCCTTGTCCGTACACGCTCGATCATATCCACGGGCTGTTAGTGTAGTCTTTGTAGTATGTTCCCAGATTCAGATACTTAATTCTAGCTTGACAGACATAAATCGCAACCGAGTTTTTCAAGTCTTGAAGTGTAATAAACTACACGTGCAGTAGTAAAGCAGACTAAGATAAAACCACTCGTCAAATCATCCTCTATCAGGTATACGGCGTCTGGCCAATTTGACGATGAAAAGCTTCAATTGGAGGAGAATGTTTGCGATATGGGTTTCAATCATTTCCACATTCAAGTTGTTGAATTTTCGAGAAATTCATCGGGGCGCCCATTCTGTGATTTGTGTCCACCCGCACGTTACTGCTGAAGTTTATTTCTGATTATTGACATGTTTTGAGGGGAAAATGGATGACAGCATCAAGCCTGGGCGGCAGGAAGGTGAAAGGATTTTGAGATTGGCGAGAGAAGCATGGCCGATTGCTATCTATCACAACGAGCAAGACAATTTTATATATTGATGCTTCAACCCACCCAATTCTTTTCCACAATATATCTTTTCATGCATATTCTCTAGATCATCCATCAACTCTTCTTCCAATTCAATATGCGGTCTTCTTTGGTAACAGTTGCTGCCCTAATGGGTATGACTTTTGCAACCCCAGTCCCCCAAGACATCGATTTCGCTATGGTCGAAGCGGCTCCTGATCCAGTTACTACTGGTCCTCCTGTTGGCGTGACTGCTCAATCTATCGCCTACGATGCTTCGACCGCTATCATTGCTGCCACTCAAGCTGTTGCATCTCAATCTGTAGCAAATAGCGATGCTGCCAATGCCCCCAAGGTTAAGAGAACAGCATGTCAAGCTCAGCCAGCCGGTGCCACTGGAGCTCCTGCATACGCTTCTGATTCTCCATCTGGTTTTTTAGCCAATCTTGGATTCTCTGATGCTGCCTCCGCTGCTTCTACTCCAGCTGGATACACGCAATCTTTCCAGAACCTTAAGGCATCCAACAAGTAAATATTAGAACTCACCATAACCGAAATATAATCTAACAGTTGTGTAGTGCCTATGGATATATGGGGTTCACTACTCTTGAAACTTATGATTCGGAATTGTGTGCATTGAAGTGCTCTGCCAGCAACGGATGTATGGCCTTTAATATTTGTGAGCTTACATGTCTAGTTCGAAAGAGTACCGGAAGAGTTATTGCAGTCACGTACTAACATGCATGCAGACGTGATCCAAGTGTCGAACCTGGAGCAGCATGCGAGGATCCTCCAAGTGTTACAATGATCAAATGTGTGTTCTGGGGTGGCCCAGTTTCTACCGAAAATGCCGTAAACTCTGGACAACACAGAGATAAATTTCAAGTCGTGATTGCTGGATCCAATGGTTATACAAATAACAGCATTGCTCCTATCCCTGGCTATGGAAATGCACAATATCTGGGAAATGCTGCTATTAATGCGCGATATGATTTAGAAGGGTTAGTAATAAGATGAAATATTTCTTTCTACAATTCTCGTAATTGTCGCCAACATTTTCATTAGATGCAATACGTACATGGGATCAACAATCTTCTCTACCGGTCCCTTCGATGCATCTCTCTGTGCCGCTTACTGTAGCGCACAATTGAAATACAACCTTGAGCATCCTCCATCTGATGGAAGTCCAGTTAAGACTTGCCAATTCTTCAATACTTATCTCCTTTATGTCAATGATCTTTCTCATACACAAGGCCATTATTGTGCCATCTACTCCGAGGCATGGGATTCTAGCTACGCAACCAATGTCGGACAATACCGTGGATCTGATCATTATCTCATTGGGCTGTCATACACCTACACCAACGCAACCAACCCAGGATTGACATCTGGAGATAAGACATGCGCTGTTGCTCAAGCATCGGTCGAGATCTCCTACTCATCTCTCCAACCTTATTGCAGCACCTTGCTCGGTTTTGCAACTGATGCTATTACAACATCAACTACCATAACCTCGACGTTTACATCGACTGTGGTCTCCCAAGCTACTGCTACTGCAGCCAATAATCCTATTCCGAAAAGAAGCGACATCGCAGTGCATCTAGTGAGCGGTACTCCTCTCATTCCTTCCATGATTGCCAATAGCATCGTCACTCCAGTAAAGCGCTCAGTTGCTGCTACACCAGCTGGACTTACCAAATACCCTGGCACTGTTATCTCATCAGCATGCTCTGCACCGGCTACCAAACCAACTATTGCCGTTACTGTTTACGTAACTGACTACGTCTCGACAACCACTTCAACCACCACCACATCTACCACCACCACTACGGCTAGTGCTACCCCATCCTTCGTCATTGCCTCTGGATCCGATAAATCCCAATACGTAACTTACGAAGACTATTTTGGTCTGAAGATGAAGATCCTCACAGTATCTCCCATCACCGCAAGCTCTGCAACCACATTCTATCTCGACGGCCAATCCCTCTCCTCATCAGACAAAACCCGGGTCGCCAATACCGACGACGCTGGCTCTGGCGCCCCCTCATAAATTTTCATGGACACACTTAGCGATGCCGCAAAATTCCCACTGATACAATGTATACTGGGCACGTATGATGCCTCAGTTGGTGGGTATCCTCTATCGTGTATTGGAGGGACGTCTGCTCCGCGCCCCGTCTTCCAAGTTGGCAATTCGAGCAGATTGGTACTTGCTGATAAGTTGCAAACGAATAATTATCTTCCCACTTTATATGCCATTCCGGCTTGAGCGAGCAAGAGAGAATGTGTGAATGAGCATGAAGATTTAGAGATGATGTTGTTAATGAGGGGGAGAGTAAATTTATTTCTTCCAGTGGTTTGGGGCCGATTTTTAATTAGTTTTATTCATGTATTCATGTATGGGGGCTGTAACCTAGTCACTGCACTTCCCTTCCATTGCTGAACTGCAGTTCAGACTATTCGATTCCCCGCAAATTGTTGTTCCCCAATTCAAATACAATTTTTTTCAAATGCAAGAACTCATATGATAAACTACTTATTGAAGTGAATGTATCCACTTGTATATCGATTCCCAGCCCAGTTCATGCCTTCCAGACACACCCTAAAACGCCGATGATGCGAAATGCAGCTCCATACTTAGGTATATTACAACGTCTTTAGTTCTTTTCTCTCGCTTCCAAAATTGCCTTGTTCAATTTATGATCCCCCGCATTCCGTACCCTTTTCCCGATAGTAGGTCCTAGAAACTCTTCAAGCTGTTTTCCTTCGTCGTCATCTAAATCCATCATCCCATTCATTCCATTTGTACCATTTGTACCATTCGTAAGTGTTTCAGTTTTTTCAGAGAGGCTCATCACCGCTTTCATGATTACCGCGACTAACATCTGTATCTCCTTATCATCACCAGTCCTGTCAGTTCTCAACTTGTTCAGCACATAATCGAATGCACCCAAGTTTGGTAGAATAAGAGCTCTGACACCGTCGGGGCCACCAATTGCTAAAAGCCCACTGATAGCTCCATAATATTCTCCTGGAGAGCGTGTTGGATCTAGGAAGAATTTTAGACACGATCTTGCTAACCTCGCTCTAAGCTGTGCATTTGATTCCGTGTAATTTTTGGAGATGATTCCAATGAGAGATGCGGCTGTGTCTCGCAATTGATATTTTTCTTTCAACTCCTCTGGAGTCCCGGTGCCAAGTTTACGGCCGACGAGACATGTAAGAATGGGTGGGCAAAGACTTGATATGTAAGGATTGACAAATAGGGTTGTGTTTGATATAAGGGCATGAGCCAATTTCAACATTGTTTGTAACACGAAAAGATTGCTCAAAGAATGAGTGACCTTCTCGGCAATGAAATGAACAAAATATGGTACCAGTTGTTGAAGACCTGGATCCGATTTCACACTTTCCAACGCGGATTCTCGTAACGTTACGACTTCTGGATCGTCGTCATCATCAAGAATAGCTTCGCGTATTTTGTCGAAGAAAAGTATTAATTCTTTCGACACAATATGTTTGACTAAAGGCTTGACCGAAACATTATCGTTACCAGCCAGAGCTCCAAGGTTCGGATTCGCACCAGGACCTTTAGGCACGAGGTCATTTGCACGAGCTTCTGCTGTTGTGGGATTTTGTGGAATTGATGGTTGAACGCCTTCAACCGCAAGCCAATGTGCTGTTTTCATTAGCATCATGCCATACCTAAACTTTCCAAATTTTCTTACCAGTAAATGACATATCTCTGGGAACCTTTGGTAAAGGCGCATTAATCAGTTTCTCAAAATCTACTTCCTCATCCTCAATATAAAAGAGCGGTTGGCCAGGACCTAAGCTTGCCTCTCCAAATCTCAATGGTCTTGTAGATTCGTAACCATAAAGGGGCTCGACGTCCAATACTTTGAGCGCTTGTGAAATATCCTGTGTGCCCAATACTGTTCTTTTTCCTTGATGCATAAATCGCATTGCTTCGACAATGACCTGGCCGACTCTGTATTCAACTTCTTGCGACAATGCCCTCACTGCTTCTTCGCCCAATTGTGAGATGCCGACAGATTCCGCAACATCGCGAACGTTGTCCGGGTTCCATACTAACTTAGGGTCCGCCATATCGACCGAATGAATTTTGGAGCTTTTGTGGAAGAGGGGGTTGGACGTCGACTTTTATGTAATGATGGATTTACTGGGACTGGTGGTAGAACAATGGGTACCTATAGCTGGAAGGATGTAGCTGCAAAGCATATGGAGAATAAACCGGAAGGCAGTTGAGATGCTAACATCTGTACAAATAATTATTGTGGTCGGCGCATTCGTTGATACGGCTCGTGGAATATTCTTTGATAGGTACTTGTCGTTCGAATAGATTGTCGGAGCTAGAATGCAAGGCTGACCTCCTTCGCGAGGCTACTGCCTATCCAATCGATTTTACTTATTCCTGGTAATCATTCACTTCACCTCATTGCACCAATAATTTGCAAAAGCTTACCCAGGTTGCATCAAAGTTGGAACTGTTCTTCGGTAGGTTTTTATTTGATTTTATTCCAAGATACGAGTAGAGAGAAGGGCATATTTGCGGAAAAGATACACCCCCACATCGGTCCCCAGGTCGCGTCGTGCAACACGTACCCCGCTGTCCCTGTCCTCACCCATCCATTAAATTGATTATAATCTTTCCAAAATCTGCATTTCTCTTCTTTTTGGTACATATCCTGCAATATGACAACTACTAGCATAGATCCCTATCCATATCGCGAGTCTGCAATCCCAATCTCCCGCGGCTCATTCATATTGATCGAAGGGCTCGACCGAGCTGGGAAAACGACCCAAGTAAAGAAGTTATGTGATAAACTATACGCCTCTGGACGAAATGTCAAGCTCATGCGATTTCCTGGTATGTACTATATCAATAATTCACACCTCCAGCAATTCATTCCTAGATCATCACCCTCCTGATCAATGGGAAACCTCCAAGCTCATAATTTAAGACAGAACAACCTCAATTGGTCAACAGATAAATTCCTACCTACAATCCTCCACTACTCTCCCAGATCAGTCAATACATCTTCTTTTCTCGGCAAACCGATGGGAGAAAGCCCAAGAAATTCGAGATTTGATTGCCCAAGGGTATACAATCGTTTGCGATCGTTATTACTATTCCGGAATGATTTACACATCCTCCAAATATTCAATCGATTCTCCAAATCATCTTTCCCTTGAATGGTGCAAAAATCCTGAAATAGGACTGCCGATGCCAGATAGAGTGATCTTTTTGGATCTAGAGCCCGAAGAAGCGGAAAAGCGAGGCGGGTACGGAGACGAGAAGTATGAAACGAGAGAAATGCAAAGAAGAGTCAGGAATGGATTCTTGACATTGCAAGATTCAGAGCTTCCAGGATTCGAGCATGAGCGACGCATAATGAAGGCAATCGATGCGGGTAATGGGCTAGATGAGGTTGCGGAGAAGATTTGGGATGCCGTGAAGGGTTTGGTAGAACAGATAGAAAAAGGGAAGGTTGGAGAGCTAGGTGTTGTTCGATGATGAAGACAAAAAAGCGGAGAACAAGTAACAAATGATGGAACGAATAGATTCGTATTAAAAGCAATAAATGTAGACAGTGAAGAGAAGCATTTGAAAGAACATACTGGCAGATTGCCAGTGTAGGTTCCCTTCCGGCTTGTATTTCTTGAATTGAAGGTCAAAGACCTAGGATAGATAAATATCCAGAATAGACGTAAATGGCGTTAAGACCAAAGAATGAACGCCCTCCCATGATGGTGTTGAAGACCACTGTACCTCTTTCCCAAACGCCTAGTTATGCAAATGCAAATGAACGTGCCGCCCCTTCTCATCTATCTATCGTCTATTTAAACCCACCAAACTGAAAAACTCATTTCTAGTCTTCTCTCTCTTCTCTATGCAGCCCAAAACACAACTTGTAATGGTCGTAGCACTCGTTTTCTCAACTCCGCGCATAACCATACACAAATGGCTCGATTCCATAACAACTGCCACACCTTGTGGTTTAAGAATTTCCATCACAGCATGCGCAACGTCTTTTGTAAGTCTCTCTTGGATTTGTAGTCTGCGTGAGAACATGTCTGCAATTCGGGGCAACTTCGAGATACCGATAACATTTCGATCCGGAATATAGCCAATGTGCATCTATATTTCGTAAGAATCAGCTTCCATCGCCTCGAGCAATTTGCCAAGAGTAACACACCTTTCCTGTAAATGGAACCATGTGATGTTCGCACATACTGAAGACCTCGATATCTTTAACAATGACCAATTCATTGTGATCCTCGTGGAAAATTGCATCATTTACAATATCCCTAACATTTTCTTGATATCCTTTTGTGAGATACAGCATTGCTTTCGCATAACGTTCTGGTGTGGCCAAAAGACCTTCCCGATCCGGATCTTCACCAATGCACTCGAGAATTGTGCGAACTGCGCCGGTCAATTTTGTCATTCGGATGGCTGCTTGTTCTGGGGATTCATCAAGACGTTCTCGTGCGCCTTTACCTGGAATGAAGTTAGCTTCCTGAGTGAAATAAAATTGATGTTCCCGCCATTTGATGACATGACATGGCATAAATCAAAAGATGACGACATACTAGGACGGCTCAAGCCATCAAAATCGATGACTGGACTTGGACTTCTCGAAACTTCAATTGGAGTTTCTTCTGGAGTATCTGTAACGGCTTCATCTCTTGGATCTCGGGCAGGTTTGGTGCTGACGCTGTGTCTTCTATGTCCATGACCGTTGGCCTTTGACTTCTTCTTCTTCTTCTTGCTTATTTCCCCGCCTTCCCCAGGATTTTCCAATTTGCGTTTGGAACTTGCGCCATTGAATTCTCTATTCTCCTTCTCTGTTTCCTCCTTGTTCCCCTCTAGATTGGAGAATTGTACCATTGCGAAATAGCAGAAATTGAATGGAGCAATGTGCTTTATTGTACTTGACAAGGCGGAAAAAAAAGTCAATAATAATCTGTGTAAATGGGGGTTGATTGTAATCAAAGAAAATTTACCCTGGAGAGATTAGGTATTGTTCTCCGAGATAGGCTCGATTGGCTATCTAAGGTGACGCTAATCACTATCTAGTAATTTCTGATGCAGCACAGATCTGTGTAGGTAGGTAGGGGTTCATTTTCAGCCTTGCGTGAATTGAAATGCTACCTCATCAGTCTTACTAAAAGGAACAACGGAAATGTCTTATTAGATAGGTACCTACTAGGTAGTAATCAGGCCTCACTCTTATTAATACCTACCTACCTACTTTTATAATATTTCTCTTCTCGAAAGAAATCATAAACTTCCACGAAAATCTACACAACTCCAACTATTTTCCTGCGTATAACAAGCAGGACTTGTCAAATTTACGGCGCCGATAAGAGCTTCAGTTCCTACGGCTATTCACGACTTATCAATTGAGCACTGATTATTAGCTCCAGAATCAAGTGCGCCGGTCAATATGGCGTCTCCACCAGCACCGACAGATTTTCCTCACAATTCCCTTTCCCTCACAATCCCTTCTAGCCCATTGCCACTATCTACAACTACGACATCGCACACACGTCGAGCTTCCGAAGTCATATCGATAAAACGTCGGAAAGCAAGCATGATATCTACTACCTCAACGCACTCTGCGCATCCTCTGCGCCAAACTTCATTCCCTCCCGAATCCGCTGTTTACACACCTGGCTATGAACGATCACCAAGTGTTGATACTATGTCTCTTGTCAGTGGAAGTGTCGCAGGTGGCCAATCAAAAAGAAAACGCGCAAAGAAATCGAAGGGTGGAAAGAGTGATTTTGAGGGATCCAATGTAGGCGTGGGGAAATCCGATGGACCTGCCTCAAAGAAACGACGAACATCTAACGGCAATATCGAAGAAGAGGAAGAAGATGACAATAATGTGGATCAAACAATGACATCGATGACTTCTAGTATAGAAGAGAAGCAGAGGGACATTCAACGAAGAGCTTTATTGGCAAACCATTTGGATCCAGAACAATTCGAACGTTATACCGCTATGCGAGCCGTAAAGTTTCCTGATGCCACCGTTAGGAGAATTGTCAATCAGACTTTGTCGCAAAGTGTACCGGGCACTGTCATTTTAGCGGTCAAGAGTGTGGCTAAACAGTTTGTTGGAGAGTTGGTTGAGAATGCAAGAAAGGTACAGGACCAATGGATCGAAGCTGGAGAACCAAATTCTGGATTGATCGTGCCCCCAGCAGAGAACACAAATATGGAGAATGGGCAAGTTAATGCCAGCCAAATAAACGTACCCAAGGAAACGAGAAGAGCACCTTTGCAGCCAGATCATTTGAGGGAGGCATTGAGAAGGCTGAGAGAGGGCAATGAAGATGGATTGGCTGGACAGCTGAATCTATGGCAATTGCAACAGCACAGTGGGGTTGAGAGATTTGGTTCTAGAGTCAGGGGGAAAAGGCTGTTCAAATAAGAGGGTGTGCGTATACGACTGAGAGTTTTCATCATGCATTTGAGCGATATGGAGTTGGGGTTTTAGGGACCTTCGCCAGGTGGCATTTATTGGAGTTATGGATAAAATATGTCATCTGGACGGATCACAGAGATAGGCCGTGAAAACCAAAATCCAATCCAATATTCTACTAATCAACTATATCAATCACAGACGCTGGTGTTATGGCTTGTGAATTTACAATTTTCTTTGAAATTCAATTCGAAGTAGCGACGCGCAAGATGTGAAGCACTGATGGAGAATGATCTCAATATCTGGTTCAATACTTCGCTCCGTTGCCTTTGCGACTTGCAAGTACCTTAAGCCTTACAACCAAGTGGTACGCTGAGTGAAGCACTAAAGAGTGTTGATTCATCGAGAGAATGTTAGAAATTCGACGTAGTTTATCGAGTAACAAGTTAATCACAGCTCGAAATACAGCAACCTCTCTTTTCCATTCTGCCCCTCCACCTGATTTGCGTAACTTACCAACGAGATTTGAGGCATGAGAGTATCGTCCACAGAATTCTCGACCAGAAGATCAATCTGCAAAAGATACTACGATCATTAAAGTAAAAAATTCACGCCAACTTACAGGGCTGTAGATTTCCACCCTTGATGATAACATATGAAGGCAACTAATCAATTCCCGTACAACAATTCATCCCACCGTTCCTTGAAGTTAGTGGATACTTGGTGGAAGCTTTGCGTCACATATGAACAGTCAACATTTGACTGTAGGAAGATCATTCATAGTGGATGTCTCACTAAGGATCATATTTATTGACCTATGATCTTGCCTCAAAAGACCCATACAAAATGCTGTGTTTCTCGACTGGTCATATATCACTGTCATTTTGTTGCATATCTGAGTCTCGGATGATTGCTTTCATGTCCTCATGAAATTCCTATGGACCACAATTCCCATGGCCTGCCTGCATCTGCAGGTTGATTCAGTCACATGAAGATAAGAGGCTTATCTCAGATCTTATCAAAACTGGAAGCAACTTCCCTTTTGAGGTTTGAATGTGTAAAGCTATCCGTAAGTGAATTGAAGGGCGTAGTTCAAAAGAACCCCGCTCAATCAAAAGATGCATTCACCCGGGAGAGTAGTAAGGTATATTAGGACCTTACGACCTGCAATTTGCTCTTCAATAAGCAAGTCTTACAATCTATTTTGAAAAATATCAGTTGCTAAGATCCATCAAAGACAACATACGACCCCTCGCAAACCCCTTTCCTCACCCCGCGCCAATTCTTAACACTCGATCCAGAATCGCTCTCTTCAGTATGGCAACCAAAGAAAAGGAATTGGGAACGGATGATCTGAAAGGTCTAGGTGGAACGACCGATCTACCACCAACTCCAGAGCCTCATCATGAAATCAATGCTTGGTCTGGTCCAGGACAAGCAGCATTTGATTTCCGCAGTAAGAGCTTCACTCACTCTACCCAAAAATTTACTGACATCTTTTGCAGGCGATGTGATGACTACTCCAACCAAATCCATGCTTACAGCCATCCAAAACACTACACTCTTTGATGATGTCTTCGCTGAAGACCCAACAACCAATTCACTTGAATCTTATCTTGCAGAGATTACTGAGCATGAGTCTGCCATTTTTGTTCTCTCCGGTACTATGGGCAACCAAATTGCTCTCCGTTCTCACCTTGTTCAACCTCCCTACTCTGTACTCTGCGATCATCGAGCCCACATTCTCGAGTGGGAAGCCGGCGGTACTGCATCTTTGTGCGGGGCTCTTGTGAAGGGAGTAGTGCCTAGCAATGGCGTTTACTTGACTTTGAAGGATATAGAGAAATCTGTTACTATTAGTGATGACATACACACATGTCCGACAAGGGTTATTAGTTTGGAGAATACATTGGGTGGAACCATCATGCCACTCGAGGAGGTCAGGGCTATTTCAGGATTTGCCAGGAAGCATGGCATTAAATTACATATGGACGGAGCTAGACTTTGGGAAGCTGTTGTTGCTGGAGCGGGATCACTGACAGATTTCACAAAGGAATGTGATAGTGTTAGTTTGTGTTTTAGTAAGGGATTAGGCGCACCAGTCGGAAGTATGTTAGTGGGCAAGAAAGATTTCATCAAGCATGCTAGATGGGTTCGGAAAAGTATTGGAGGAGGGCTCCGTCAAGCTGGTGTTTTGACCGCGGCTGCGAGAGTTGCGGTCGATGAAACATTTGGAAAGGGTCCAAATGGAGAAGGGGGTCTCTTGCGCGAAAGTCATAAGACGGCCAAAAGAATCGCGGCCTTGTGGGAAGGATTAGGTGGAAAGTTGCAGCAACCAACCGAAACCAACATGGTGTGGCTGGATTTGGCAGATGCAGGTGTTTCGGCGGAAGAATTCAGAGAATTGGGAAAGGAGAAAGGCTTGAAACTTTATGGTGGTCGATTGGTGGTGCATTATCAGATCGGGAATGAAGCGGTGGATAAGTTGGAGGAGATTATGAAGGATATTTTGGAGAAGAAAGGAAAGGGCACTATTGTAGTTGCGAACAAGAAGCGAAAGGTAGGAGAGAAGGATTATGGTACTTAAGTGCTGGCCATACTTATGAGATGTAGGCAGATACCATTTCACTATCTAATCCTCTTCATATATCTGATGTTCGGGATACCTATTGATGTAGGATAGATAGCTTGCAGCTGAGCTAGGCTAAGGCAGGCGACATGCACATTAGCTAGAGATGAAAGTTTGACAAGAAAAATGTCAAAGTGAACACAATAAAAGCCAGAAATCCTATGAAGGATTACCGTTCCAGCTTGGCTCTTCTCTCCTCCTACATCTTTCTCAGCATAACCACAGAATTGCATTAGATATTTAGCTCTGAAAATGTTCCCCGAGAGAGAATGAAGGGATGGGATTTCGAAATTTCGGGATTTGATTGGGAATAATAGAGCATTGGTCTAGCTTCATGATGATATCTACTGTGTGAAGAGGGATGCTTGTACGGTCGATGGAGAGAGTAGGGATCTGGTTAAAGATGAGATTATCTTAGATGATAGGGATGCAATAGCTTGTTTGAGAGGGTTTATAGGGGGTTCATGAGGCCAGAGAGACTAAGGTTGAAATGAGGTGGATGACTTGGGCGTGCTAAGTCTAATTTGTAAATGTCAAATCGCATACATGGCATTTTATTGGAAATGAGGATATAAAGACTAGGCATATACTGGAGGTTTTTCGGTTGACCCGTTGTTAGCGAGCCTTTGAGTTTGTGATTGCGCAGGGGGAGACAAAAGTGCTTCCTATACTGCATCTCTCCTACTTAGATATATCGGAAAAGAACAACCCGTTGTCTGCTCAGGGAATGTAGGATTGAGGAATAATTATTGGGTCTTCTGCTTTTTCGAAGAAACCTATTCCTCATACAGATTGGCGTGCAACCACATCTTTGTTATACAGACAACTTCACTGAATAGGTTGCGGCGTCATTAAGTGTTTCCCTGATCACGCCTGTCGGTATACTGTTCAAGTAAGACTTACAAAATTCAATTTCGTACAAATACTCTCTTGAACTGCCCGCTTGTCACTAATTTGAAACATGCTCGAATGTCTATGAGTCCTTCTTTAAGATCATTAAAAGATTTCAGAGACACATGTTTGAGAGAATCTGAAGCCTAGCATCCGCTCAGTGGTCCAGGTAAGAAGGTATTACACAGGTTAACGTTTTTGAACAATTTCAGGGGAAAGACTAATTTTTCGGTTCAACTTAAACGTCTGGATTATATCAAGTCATTAGGGGAAGTAGCCGAGATTTCGATGTGATCAAACTCAGACTTTGACGATGCCATTCCTTCTTTCTGATGCCAATCGAGGGCAAATGTATACCTAGGTGTAGAAAAGAATTGTGAAGCACGCCGTACAGGAAGAACCGGTACGGGAATAGCAATTTGAATTGTTTCGTCGTGCATGAAGAGCGACTTTCGCTATGCAAAAGGGTATTTAGGAAAATCTTCATTGACATATGGATCTCCTCAAATGATCAAGGTGATATACATACAACATATCATCAGACTTGAGTGATGATAGTGTGTACCTCGAGCATCAGTTGATATATTCCGTTCCGAGAATGGGCGAGCTAACTTGATTCAGTGTTAGCGCAATTCTTGCCCAAAAGCCTCGGCCCCAGAATTGATCGGTATAGATTGCTTTTCAAGTGAACAAGAGCTCTAAGGACTATTGTAGATTTTAATTTTATTTAATTATTCGATTCAAAGCATATTGTTAGGCAAAATAGAGAGAACTGAAAGAAGGGTGAGAGCCAGCTGTCAAATACGACAACTAATAAAAGTAGCTATCTAGCTAAAGCTACCTAATCTTAACCCCATACCGCAACATTTACGAATTCACGAAATATTTGATTTAGGATGTCAATCGCAACAAGCTCTTCGAACAGTGCAATGGGGCTTCCATTGAAAAACAAGAAACGAAAGAGAAGACATCAAAACAAACCGGCCATCTCTGCGAGATTGATTCTGGATGAGCATGTGAAAGGGGATATCGGAGTCATTTCTGGGGATTTGGCAAAAGATCTGTGTCTAGGACAGAGCGGTGTACCTGATGATACAGTTCATTACATCGCGATCTCTCCTTGTAGTCCCTCAACAGCAGTCGAAGACTCGACGTGGACTGTTGTTCCTGTTCGGTCCTCGAACAATTTGGCAACTTCCACTGTGCAATTCTCACCCGAAAACCCGACCTTACAAGCATTCGCGGAAACCCTGCAGAGGGTCGCGCCTTCCAAATTATCGAGCAACAGTCGTAGCGGAATTGAGATACGCGTCCTAGACATAGTACCTTTACCCTTAGAGACAGTGTTTGTTACGATCGAGGGGGAATCTGCGAAGAGACTAGAGAATGGAGAAGGGACATTTCACGGAGAACATCCACAGGCGAATGGGCATACAAAGTCACTGAGAAACGGAACAAGTCCCGAGGACAAATTGACCAAGGCAATTCGAGAAGCTTTGAGATCGCTGAGAGTTGTGCATACTGGAGATTATGTTCAATTACCTTTGCAACCTCATCCAATCACCCACGTTCCTCCCCCTCCAGCAAAAGTCACTCTTAGCGAGCCTGTAGGACAAGGACTGCTGTCGCCAAAAACCAGGATTATCGTCACTCAGACTGGACACCATGCGAAAAGTCCACCAAAACACACAGCTATCCCATTAAATGGAGGGTTAAACCAAGTGACGGAAGAGGACGAGGATACAAGTAATGACCAATTCTATTCCGCTGCGGAGGACAGATACAAGACCGATACTGCTTTTGAAGGGGAATCTGATTATGTCACAGAAACAGACACCGAAATAGAAAGTAGTGCCGACAATGATAGTCTTTCGGATGACTCCATGGAGGATATGATCTCGCTCCAAGTACCTGTATTACCATCCCATAACGCCAGCGGAATCTCGACGATACAGCCTGGATCTCCACAGACAATTATTCCAGGCGGACGAAGGACGAACGGTGTTGCTACCCCGGGCTCCGTATTCTCTTCTTTTACGGCCACTACTCGTGCAGGTGGGCAAAGTGGAAGATTGTTCAAAACGCAAGGACTAGCAAGACCGCTCTCTGACGAAATGCTGCACCCAAAGCCTAATGCTGATGATGATGAGGAGGCAAGAATATTCGTTGATATCAATTCTCTAACTAAGATCGGTTGTTTCTCAGGAGACTGGGTGCGGTTAGAAGCAGCTGCAGAACCACCTGCCAATGGTGTGGGGCTTTGGGGACTGGGGAGCTTTGGAGATGTTGAGGAAGAGAAGCCCTGGCGACCTGTGAAGGTTTTTGGTCTACCCGAAAGCTATTCACATCGCCCCATGACCAAAATACCACGTAGCAAACAGGAGGGCCGAAGATTGTCGTTCTTTGAATCACAAGTCCAAAAACCAGCAAGCCCACTGGCTTATATGTCACCTCTACTTCTTGCAAACTTGGAAAACACATCATACTGTCGCATTGCACCCCTGAAACGTGCGCCACAAATATTGAAGACGCCATTAGCTAAGATCAATAGCTTTTCAAATCCCCCCACAGCAAAAGATTTAACTCTCATGAAGATTTCGACCCCTGCTTCGAATGAGCGTACTTTGCAAAATGCTCTGTTTGCTGGGCTGAAAAAGTATTTCTCTCAAAAGAGGAGAATCGTAAGGAAGGGCGATCTCATTGCTGTTCCAATTGATCAAGGCCTTGGTAGAACTTTACAATCATCCACTGGTGAAGACCTTGAAATCGATGAAATGTTTTCGCATGCATCATTGGCTGAGGCAGAACCCACTAAATCGGCCAAAACTACTGCTGCGGCTTGGTATAGGATAAGTTATGTCGGTCTGACGAAGGACAGCTCAGATACCAATGATGAGGAAGATATTTGGGGTGGCGTTGCCTCAATTGACGCATCGAATACACGTATGATGCAGTCGGGCAGTGAGAATAGTCGATTACCTGCAACTATGGAGAATTCTTGGGAGTATTACCTTGGGCTGAAGTCACTTTCCAAGACTGATCTCGAATCCAGCGCAATACCGGAGGTCAAAAAACCACATGTCACAACTTTACAACGGCGTTTGAGAGAATTAATCGCCGCAGCTACAAGCCCTAGAGCTATACATCTAAACTTGCCACCGCTTGCAATTCTTCTTGTCTCCACGCAACGTAGCATTGGTAAAGCAACATTAGCAGCTAATGCTTGCGCAGATATTGGCTTACATACTTTTAAGCTTGATGCTAAAGATGTTATCAATGAAAGTGGAGGTGGAAGTGATGTCAAGACTGCCGGATTTCTCGAGGCACGCGCTGAAAGAGCTATGAATTGTGGTCCCGCATTCTGCGCACTCCTCATACGTCACATTGAATGTCTTACTGCTGATAGAATGGTCACTACATTGAAAGATATTCAAAGCGGCACGAGAGTTGTTATTGCAACTACAACCGAGGTAGACAAAATTCCAGACGGTATTCGGGGTTTGTTCACCCACGAGCTCGAGATGACTGCTCCTGATGAGTGGGAGCGGGAGGGAATACTTCGTGCTATTATTGAAGACCAAGCGATTTCTCTAGCACCAGATGTAGATTTCAGCTCCGTAGCTGTAAAGACTGCTGCCCTCGTAGCTGGCGACTTACACGATGTTGTGGATCGAGCTCTCGTGGCGCGTAACTCTCGCATAGAAGCACTCGCAGCTGCGTCTACCACCCCTGAAAATATTGTTACAGTTCGCGATATCTTACTTTCTGCTGGGCCAGCAGGTCGTTGCCTTACCAAAGTCGATTTTGATGTTGCAGTAGATTTTGCAAGGAAGAATTTTGCTGATGCGATTGGTGCACCCAAGATTCCAAACGTCGGTTGGGATGATGTTGGTGGCCTGTCGAATGTCAAGGAAGCAGTAATGGAAACTATTCAATTGCCTCTTGAGCGACCTGAACTATTCGCAAAAGGCATGAAGAAACGATCTGGTATTTTGTTCTACGGTCCTCCTGGAACCGGAAAGACTTTATTGGCAAAGGCCATTGCTACGGAATTCAGTCTCAATTTCTTCAGTGTTAAGGGACCAGAATTATTGAACATGTACATTGGAGAATCCGAGGCCAATGTCCGGCGAGTCTTCCAGCGTGCACGTGATGCACGACCCTGTGTTGTTTTCTTCGACGAGCTTGATTCTGTGGCACCTAAGAGAGGTAACCAAGGAGACAGTGGTGGAGTAATGGACCGCATCGTATCACAATTGTTGGCTGAGCTAGATGGAATGTCTGATGGAGATGACGGTGGTGGAGGTGTCTTTGTTATTGGTGCAACAAATCGACCGGACCTTCTCGATGCAGCCTTGTTGAGACCAGGAAGATTTGACAAGATGCTGTACCTGGGAGTAAGTGATACCCACGAGAAGCAAGAAACTATTCTAGAAGCTTTAACGAGAAAGTAAGTTATCTGACATTTCCTGACCTTGAAATACACTAACTCAGACAGGTTCACACTTTCTCCTACGCTATCTCTTGCTCGTGTCGCTTCTGGGCTTCCTTTCACATATACAGGTGCCGATTTTTATGCACTTTGTTCAGATGCTATGCTTAAAGCTGTAACTCGCCAAGCATCCTATGTAGATTCACATCTCGCCAAACTTAATTCCGAACGCGGAAGCGAGGGCAAAGGAAAGGTTTCAACAGCATATTGGTTTGACCACTATGCAAAAGAAGATGATCTTCGTGTAGTTGTACAAGAAGAGGACTTTGAAGCTGCAGGAAGGGAATTGGTTCCCAGTGTTAGTGCTGGAGAGTTGGAGCATTATGCGAGAGTTAGAGGCCAATTCGAAGGCAATAAAGATAAAGACAAAGTCGCGCCAAGGCCTAGCTCGTCGAGTAGCTCAAGAAGTTCGAGGAAAGGAAAGGGAAAAGGGAGGGCAGATGTCAAAGGCAAAGGAAAGGCCAAAGATATGGGTGACTGGGATGAGAATGCTGAGGATGGTTATTATAATGGCACTGACGAAGAACAACTTAATGGTACAATCAGAGTGAAGCCAAAGGGAAAGGAATCTGTACAGGGATTGTTCCAAGATGGAAGCATGGAAGATGAAGAAAATCTATATTAATGATGTATTGGGATATACAAAAGCGTATGCATTCAAAGAGGAAGATAATATATAATCAATATAGGACAGCCAAATATACACCCTCAACCGTAAAGTTCGAACTGAAATCATGATAAAAGTCTTTACTAGTCATGAAATGCTCTCCGTTCTGTTTCTACGTGCTCGGATTATTTGTTGTGAAACTCACCCACTTCGTTTGTCTCCCCCATACTTTTGAAGTCTGACTTCCATTATCATTTCCAAACATTACCCGATGCGAAGAGAGAATTACTACAGATAAACTTGGTTATACCGGACTGGAATTTTCGACCAATCAAATCCGGTATATCCATGATTTCGGTATAAAAAATGATGGTCCAAGCTTTCTAACCAAAATTTATATTCGATTTTAGTTCCAAATTCTAATATTTTCGAAAAATATTATATGATAATAGTCAATCAAGCTTACTCATTCAAAATTCAGTTTATTTAGTTAAATCTATTATCAAAATTTATATCGGATTCGTGAAAAAAGTGTTTGGTATATTGGTTTTGCTTAAAAATCTGGTATTCTTATATAAAAAGTGATCAAATCAGGAAATTATTCCGGTATATCCAAGATTCCGGTATATCCCAGTCCGGTATAGTCAAGTTTATCTGTAGAGCACTGACCCCCTGTCAAACTCATGTCAGCCAAGTAAGCGTTATCTCACATGTCAAAACGCCAAACCTTGGAACGCCAGACAAACGCCACACAACCTTCGTGATCCACTCTCAAGCCACTTATATGCACACCTGGTGCCCAGGTGTCGGTCAGGCACGGTCCATTGAATTGACACAGTCGGTTCAGAAACATGAATTTCGCATCGTTTTGTAATTGTAAAGGTAACGGTATCGCATTTTCTTACTTTGTTTCATGCGCATCTCTCTCTTTTCGTTTGCGAGGCTGTTTTCTGTTTCGATTTACTATACCCTGTTCCTATCTCTCATTTTTTTGCAAGGTATTGCTCGCATTTCTTGGTTTCAATTGGTAAGTTGGGTTGTTCAAGTTGGTGTTTGTAGATTACGAGAGACGGGGACAGGGGATATAAGGATCGTCGATTTCCATGATTTTGAAAGCTCCACTCGAGCGAATAATTTGAATGACTTCGAGGTTCAATTCGAAGAAATTCGAGTACGTGCGATATTCCGCCATGAGCAACGAACCTGAACCCGAATCCGCCTATGCCGGCCAAGCCGCGAAGCTCTCCCATATCAACCCCGAGGATGATGATGATGGGGCTGGAACAGCGATGAGAGCGGACTATGTGACGGCAAGGGATACAGTGGTTGTTATGGAGGATGGAGGTCGCTTGCCCGGGCCACCGTTGCAGGAATCGGAGAGATTGAATGGACTCAGAAGACAGGCAAGGGGTGTTGGTGGTAACATGATTAGTGAAGTCGAAGAGGCGGAAGAGATCGTAAGCGAAGAGAATCGACTGGCAGCGGGCGAGAAAGGGAAAGATTCACATGATGTTGGAGGGAATGGCGGGCAAACATCAGGCCAAGGCTCACTCGAAAAAACTATGCCGCCCTCGCAAACGCATCCTTTATTCCCACCTCTGCCACTATATGGCCCGTCGTCAATTACAAGAAATCTACAATGTTGGACATTCAGGACTACCAGTTTTTTCATTACCTGTGCAGTTTTGGGAGCTATTGTGATGGGAGCGGGAGTTATGACTATGCCAGCTATTTTTACTTATTTGTGGTATAAGGTTACATTCAGGGATCCAGACCGAGGACGGGTATTCTACGAGGAAGAGAAGATACGAAGGCGGAGGAGGAGAGAAGAGGAAAGTCGTTGGAAGAAGATGAATCGCCAAAAATTGTCTAAGGAGAAAGTGGATGATATTGAAGGTGATGCGGGGCAAGGGGATTTTGTACCGACAGAAGGTGGTAAAGATCCGCTGGTTTGCGATGTGGGATATTATGCACGAAGAGTAGGTCTAGACGTCGAAGAAGTAAAGGTTCAGACAGAAGATGGATTTATCATTCTTCTTTGGCACGTATACGACCCAAGCGAATATACGCCCATGACGGCGGAGCAACGAGCGGCTCGGGGACCAGAATTGTTCACTGGTCAGGGCCCAAGTCGACCACTTTCTTCGGACTATAATCGCCAATCAAAGTATCCCATCCTAATGATTCACGGTCTCTTGCAATCATCTGGTGCTTATTGTACCAATGATGACCACTCTCTAGCATTCTATTTATGCAAACAAGGCTATGATGTTTGGCTCGGCAATAATCGATGCGGATTCAAGCCAGAACATACACTTCTTGACTATGCTGATCCTCGCATGTGGGCTTGGAATATTCGGCAGATGGGTGTTCTGGATTTGCCAGCACTTACCTCTCGCGTTCTATCCGAAACTGGCTTCCCCAAATTAGCCCTCATCGGTCACTCCCAAGGCACAACTCAAACGTTTGTCGCTCTTGCGAAAGAGCAACGGCCTGAACTGGGTGAGAAAATCAGCGTATTTTGTGCATTGGCCCCAGCCGCATATGCGGGTCCGCTTATCGACAAGGGTTATTTCAGCTTCGTGCGTAAGATCTCTCCTTCGTTCTTTCGCATCATCTTTGGCATTCATGCTTTTCTTCCGTATATGATGGTCTTCCATAAGATTATTCCAGGAAAGATTTTTGGTACCCTAGGATATCATGTTTTTCACCTTTTGTTCAAATGGAGTGATGCTAGATGGGACAAAGGAACCCGAGATCGTTGTTTTCAATTCGCTCCTGTGTATGTAAGTGCAGAGAGTATGAGGTGGTGGCTAGGGATGGACGGCTTTGCAAAGCACAAGTGTATATTAGCAACGAAAGAGGAGGGTATGCTGGAAGATGAGGAAGATAGATTGGTATGGGGGGATACTCAGAATAATTCGGATCGCAATGACGAGAAGAAGAAGTCGACAGCCAAGGGAAAGAAGGCGTCGGGTAAATCAAACACACCTGAGAACGAGATGCAACCCGGAGCGGAGATGATGGAAAACGAAGAAAAGAGAGAACCCAAAATGAGCAGAGCTTGGTATAATGAGCAGGTCCCCCCGTTCGCATTATGGGTGTCGGGATCCGACGATTTGGTCGATGGAAGAAAGCTACTCCGGAGATTCGAGAGAGGAAGAGAACCATGTGTGAAGGTCGTGCATCAGAAGGTGATAGAGGAGTATGAGCATTTGGATGTTATCGTATGTACTCCCCACGATTCCCTATAATTTATATTCTTTCCACTTCCAGTGGAATCTGTCCTTTAAATTTTTGGCAGCCTGAACTGACATATGTAAATTCGATAGTGGGCTGTGGATGTCCTCGAAAAGGTAGGGCGAGAGGTCAAAGAAGTGATTTGGAAGACGTGTTCAGCACCGGACCGAAGTAACTGTCGTGTTCCGTTTGGATGTGAACAAGTGAGAGTTTGGGATGGCGTAGAGAGGTCCGGTGTTTTTGAAAGCCGCGATTTTGCAGAGAGTAGTCAAGACCAAAGCGACAGTGATCGTACCCTATGAGCATGGATCGAGAAGCATTCGAGGGTATATGACAAAATCAAGGCGATACATATCGACGAGGACAGCTGGGAGAGGTAAAAATTTTTGTATAAAATTTCATGACGGCGTTCTCGGTACTACTGTATAAACATACTAATACAATTTGGATGGATAGAATTGGAAAGGGACGGACGGCGGAATTGTCATCAGGGTCTATGCTACCTACACTTAGAGATCTCTAGCATCACAACTTATTTAATCAGCGGCATTGTAATAGAATATGTTTAGTAATGGAGATAATTTTTTTATCTTTCTATAGATCAATCAGTATTTGCAGATGGATCTGACACATGAAGTTATATATATTCTGGCTTGTTGGGATTTTTGGGGTGGAAATTTCTACTTACGTATGAGATCCACAGAGGCGTGCTCGGACAATCAACATTAAGAATAAGGTTAAAATTCTGTGAACAGAATCCAGTGTTATTTTCACAAAGCCGAATGTAATCACCTATCGAGCATCGAATAGTATGTAGATTTGCAAAAACTATGGTATAAAGTTTCTCGCGAACCTTATCAGATCCTCCCGATCATCTACCAACCACCCATTTTTAATACACTTCCAGCCTTAAAAGCATTGAACGTCTAGGTACACAACGCAAAACTCTGCGATCTAGTTTGCGCTAACATTAGATAATCTAGATTGTTACTCTTTGACCGCTTGGTGGATTGTTTGATTGATTGATTGATGCTATGTGACTTTTGCAGAAGATCTTGAATTGACTTCTGGATATTAAGGGGAGGATAGCGTTGGATTCATTGGGCGAGCTGATGTAGATACTTGATATCGGTGTCATGTCTAGCGTCAACATAATTTTCTATGCCACTACTAGTGTACGGTTAAATTTTGATCGTAAAATGAGTATCCAGCCCGTGAAATTGGAACATGCCAAGACAGGAACCCCTATTTTCTTTCGCTAAAGATATTCAAGAAAACTCATACTGCCGAATACCGTTATGTTATGCCTCCAGAATATCTAGTATCGACGTTTGATACCTACACAACAGGGTGGTTGTCTTCCGATTGCTCAAGGATAATAAGTCGATTCAATATTTTCGAGCTGATTCGTGTAAAGAGTGCGTTTAGATTTCTTCAGTAGCCGTAATTAATTCCAATCCACTGACAGTTCAAGTGAGCAAAAGCAGCATGTGCTTCAAGTGTTCTAAAACAGGGAATCACCTTGATGAATGGAGTCTCGCTTCGCGAAATTTCCCATTCTTGGCACAGACCACATGCAGACATCTTAGCGAGTCTTGAACGTGTGTATACTCGATTTAATAACGTGTTTCCAAAACGTGACTTTTTTTGATCTAATCAACTTTTTGCTGAATCCTATATTAAAATAATTCAATTGCTTTCAATTCGATTAATATAGCTTCAAATTGAAAAAACTTTGTATCATAATATAGATCTCAATTTATAGAATCTATAAATAAAGTTTGAATAGAATTGATCAAAAATTTATGGAATTGAAGGTGGTTGAATAAAATCATGATTTTTGGAGTAGTTTTCAGGTTTTTGAACTTTCGAAATTCAATTTTCATTCAACCACTTCCAATTCCATAAATTTTTGATCAATTCTATTCAAACTTTATTTATAGATTCTATCAATTGAGATCTATATTATAATACAAAGTTTTTTCAATTTGAAGTTATATTAATTGAATTGGATTTTCCGATTTCAAAAATTCGACTAGGTGATATTCGAAAAAGTGCTTTTTGGGGGGGAAACACGTTATTAAATTGAGTGTAACAAATTAGCTGTCATGACCAGCGGCAACGACATGAACCTAACGGCAACGTATTGTAAGCTTTGAGATTCATATGTTATCAATTGACAACTTCAAGTACCTTGAGGAATGAGGCGCCTCTTTCTTTTTCTGAGACCTGGGCAATATTGAAATTGGGACGCGGTGGCTGTTTCTGTTCTCGATCGCGATGAAAAGAATTCTTTTTTTCCTTTTCAGGATTCGGGTTATGTATGTATTGATGTAATAATTGATATAGTTTTGGTTGATTGATCTCTGAGACCTATAAAGCGGATCACAGTAAGTACATAATCGCTTGTGTAAAGATGTTCCATTTTCATGAATGGCCACGGGTATTCCTTCAACGGGTAGGAGAAATCTGGTAATGAAGATCCATAACTAAGATCTCAAAATGGAACTCATGTGTGACCGTGACTTACTAAAATCTATCCAGATGAACTCAAGTAGAAAGTTCACATGTGTTGTGCATTATCATTGGAGTTGATAAGGTCTTTAACAAGCTCAGTAAGATTTTGGGAAGTCCCACATCGAGCTCTACCAAAATATTGATGATCTGAGCTAGATGTATCGCAGAAAAAGAGAAGAGGACGAGGAAGGTAAAGGTAGCTTTTCAGAGAAGAGGAGAGTAAGAGAACTCGCAAAAGCCACGATTTGCTCAAAGGTCAAGAACTGTGAGCATGGTATCCAAGATCAGGCATCATTCCCATCAGTATTGTGCACTTCTGTCCGCCTTTTCCAGACCTTTTCAAACCACCGCAGATATTTGCAACCAAGTTGTAAGGAAGTTCAAAAGCATACCACTTGTATTCACTTAAATAGCCCATCTTCTTTATTTTGGTGAGAAATAAGAAAAGCTAGCCCACTTCCATCTAATTTCTTTACCCAATTGTTGCCGTACTGGCCTAATTTCTGCCCACCAGCGTCCATCATGTATTATTCGTAAATGATTCGATGTAACGACGTCCTTTGTCTTTTCTGCTATCCAACAGAAGCCTGACAGCAACTACGAGCACCGATCCCGCGAGGATCCCTGAGAAAGAGGAATGTGGTCGGGCGTCGGCGGCTGTGTGGACTTGGTCGACGCATTGGAGAGCAATTGAAAAGCTTGTGCAATTCGTTGGTTTGTTTCTAGTGGTATGCATTGCTGGAAGAGCCAACTGAAATTGTGCGAATTCTTTCGACTTCAATCCCAGGAGGGGTGAGATACCGAGTTAGTGAAAGTGAAACACAGCGGGTGATTTAAGTAGACAGTATACTCACTGAATTGAAAGGGGAATTTCAGAGGCGAAGTCTAGGAATGAGTATCAGAATGCGCTGCTCAAGCGCCGTCGGAGAAGCCTTTGAAATTGGCAGACAAGAAAAATTGTCAGGAAGAGTCAGTTGAGAAAGGTGGAAATGAGTTGCCCGGGAATCGGGAGTGGGGAGGATGGGAAGAAATTTGAAAAGCTGTCCGAGAAAAAAGAGACTAACGATACTCCTTATAGTTCTGTCAGCGTTGCACTTCGGAAATATCTCACCCTCATAATATAGCACACTCAGCATTTCACTTCAACCTAGCTTCGAGAATTCCAAAATCGGCCGGCCTGCTCAAATGAGAAGAACGGTCGTTTATATAAAGATGTATAATTATCATGAGTGACTCAAAGATTACACACACGGAAAATTCAAAACTCCGGTAGCCTGTACAATAAATAAACGCCCCGAGATGATAAGCTCAATCCATATACTCCATTTCCATTTCCATTTCCAGTGGCTTCATTCCCAAGTTCATTACCCTACATTCGCTTTTGAACGCCAGTTAGGAGATTAGGCAGCTAAAGATCGGAAGTCAGTATGTGGGCTAGATAATAAAGGTAGTAGATCGTTTTCGCTGTGTAATTGTTTTAACACGCACCTATTGTCTTGATGTTCTCAAAACACTATTTACTCTAGCTTTGCCCATCATAGAGATCTATCAAAAGCCTGAAACATCCTCCTACCACAAGGGCAATCTGTGTATCGCCTGTGGTAAGCGTAGCCACGGCAACCTTGTGTTCTCTCCATGGGAACACCACCCATTCCCATACTCCCCGTAGAAACACGTCGGGGAATGAAGCCGCAGGAACATTGCTGCAAAGGTCCAGCGGCAGAAGAGAGATGCTCGTGGTAAGCGTAGCCACGGCAGCCTTGTGTTCTCTCCATGGGAATACCACCCATTCCCATACTGCCCGTAGAAACACCTCGGGGAGTGAAGCCACAGGAACATTGCTGCGAAGCTCTAGCAGCTGAAGACAGATATTCGTGGTAGCTGTAGCCACGGCAGGCCATGGATCTCTCCATTGGAACACCGCCGGCCGAGCTACCACTCACTGAATCACTTCTGCCGTCCATGACACCAGTACCTTGCTGTTGCGAGTCGGCAGTTGAAACCGAAGGATTGCCGTCGTTGTCTGCGACAGCTTGTTGATTTATGGATGGGCGTGGGGACTAGAGATATAGGCTGTTAGTAATCATCTCAAACATCTTCAGGGTTACCGAGATTCATGCTCTACACTTCTCGATGACACTAGGAATGCCAAAGATTTAGTAATATTGTTTGTCGGAATTGAAAACTTGAAAAACACAAATTGCAAAATGAATTGTACTTACAGGAGGAGAAGACGATTTGTCCCTTTGGTTGTTTCCGTTTTCGTTCATTGTTATCGTTGTCGATTTGTTGTTTTACTGTCGTTATTGATGGATGTTGTTATATTTTGGTGTTCCTAGATATTGAAAGTCAATCTGTCACGTAGAAGAATATGATATGCGCCAAGCGGAAAGAAAGCTAAAATTCCACTAAGTTATAGTCAGTCCTGAAGTCACATGAGTTCTCTAGATCTCGAAGACACTGGAAGGGTACAAGCGTGACACCACAAATAGAATAATTGCTGTTCTGGAATTACACGCCGCTGTGGATCTCCATTGAAGTGTAGATCACTCGAAAATACTTGATTCGTAGGAAGTTTGTAACAAGTATTCGATGTAGCTTGCATTGAATCCATGTTTGCGATGGAAAACTTCAGTATTCATCATTTTGCAACTTTTCTGATACATCTTGGACAACATTTCACACAATCTGCAGGCGATAATCATGATGAAATCGTCTCCAAATCTGGACTGAAATTTAACATAAAGGTCTTTTCTTATTCTATATGCAGAGAAGTTCGCATGAGCTTCCCTGTCTCCAGAGAACTATGTGCAGAAAAGTTGGGAAAGCTACCTAGTCAAGATGTCAGGAAGTCGAACTCACGATTGCGAGGTCTCCTCCGTCTAGCAATAAGCCAAAACTTTCTATCCGTTAATTCACGAGGGTCTATCAGACCAGAAATCTCGGTAAAGTTCAAATCATAGAACTGAAAGTAGCAACGCAACCTATCCGTAGGAGTACCACTAAAGGTCATGAGGTATCATAGAAGGGAATAGCAAACCGGTGCTGACCCTATCTATCCGGTCCCTTTCATCTGCTGCCTGGATTATCAAGATTTTTGTAATCAAAACTTTTGTCGGTATGCCACGGGCTCCTGTTTATTGCTGGAGAAGTTGAAAATGATTTGGTGGTGTAATATTTGGCTTCGGATTGAGATCTGGGAACTTCTCTCTAAGATCTCTCGTCTTTTCATGTTGACAACTACCTGCCATCCACTTCATAAGGACTATCGGTTCCATTCCTGCATAGTTTCTGACCTATGTGTGTAATCGGTTTGTAGTTGACAAGGAGAGAACGAAGGGCTGGTTGATGACTCAGAGGATTGGCCACTTCCTCTTTCGGACCCGAAAAATTCATGCAAGGAAGAAGGGGATGCGGCGGTACAGTTTTCATTTCTCACCTAGAAGAAGTCAGTTATCGCGGGATTGCTTATCTTGAGTTATATGTATGCTTACAGTTGTGTACTGCTGAGTATCAAAACCCTGCGTTTGGACGGCAGGCATTTGAAATTGATCATGCGACTGATTAGATAGAGTATCAGTTGCTCTAGGTTCCCATAAGTTTCTCTCTGGGAATAACGGCGAGTGTGGTTCATCAAGAGCTGATACATAATTGAAGGGATATGAGCCCCAATCAGAAAACGAATGGCCCATTTGCTGGAAAGAATAACTTGGTTGTTGGGTATCAATGCGTTGAGGTAATGGAAGGGATTGACAATGGTTATTAAACTGTTGCACTTCATGCGTCAACGGTGCAATCATTCCCTGGCCCATGTGCTGGAAAGACGTCGAGTTTGGGGGTATCTGTCCCATTTGGTCCATGTGCTGGAAAAAGTCTACACTCTGCGGCACTTCTTGTGCTTGGCCCACTTGCTGGAAAGAATCTGCCTCTTCAAACATCCAGGTCTGAGTTGTTTCATCATGATTCAACTGATATTCCTGATAGATTTCGGATAAGCCTGATCCACTGTGCTGAGATTCACATTCTACCTTGAATCTTTCCAGACTGCCAGAATATTTATGGCCCTTTCGTTTGATTGGCTTCTTTTGAATGACCTTAGGAGATAGTTGTTTTGAATTTGCTTTTGTAACTCCTAACTTTCCAGCATGCTTCTTGTTGTGCTCTTCAATTATGATGTCGATGCTATTCTTCTCTCTGCGACGACTGGAAGGTCTTGATGCCATCATGGAATGAGACAAGTCCTCCCTGTGCTTGTTTTCATGTCTGTTATCTTTATCTGACAAGAAGGAGGTTGACAAAGAAAAAGATCGTTCAAGCACAGCTGGTGGTCTTTCGATATTGGAGATTGTGTTGGAAGAGGGCGATGTCGTTGCAAAGGTGGAATGATTTTGATAAAATTGTGATGACGTGCCAGGAGAATCAGTAGTGGGATCTTGAACCAAGGATAGTGATGTCTGCTTAAGACTATTAGCTACTTGTAAGTTGATTGAGAACAAGGGGTAGTATTTACTGTAGAACTTTGAATATTCCCGACACTCTCCTCGAACTTTGTGCCAATTGGCATCATCGACTGAATTTCTGGTTCTTGATCTCCTCTTGCCCCTGCATATGAGGAATACATGTTCTCAAAGGGCTGGTCTTCGCCGTATATTATGGCGGTATCCTTATCTTCGTCAATGTTGTCTTTTTTGAGAACAAGGGGACTTTCTCTTAGCAGGTTAAGGGTTTCATCGTCGTCGTTTGCTTCTAGCAGATCATAGAACTGCCGCTCTCCCCAAATGTCATCAAATAACGACATGATTATTTGAGAAAATTTGAAAGTTGGTAACAAAAGGATTTTTGAGGGAGGAGCGAAAGGCAAGTTATTTTTCGACAGTAGTTGCCAATGAAGGTGGAAACAAAGCAAACTTAATCCACCAGTTCAAGGATTAATCAAATTTTCCCCTCTCGAAAATTAACGAAATTCACCTTTGTGGAAGTTTTTAATGAAATTTAATTGGAGGATAGTTCATCTCACAAATCATAGTTCTTTGGTCTTTTTCTAAATCACAAAACATTCATTGACATGGTAGGATTTTATATATCAAGAGCTTCTGATTTGGAACATCAATTTCATAACAAAGATCACTTAAAATCTACTTGAAGTATATTTCAGCTCTTTGGAAAAGATTGGACTATGTTTGGGAACATTGCAGAATCATCATATTAGGTAGATCCCATCCGAACATCTCCTGCTTTCATCCAAGCCTTAGATTATCCCAAGTTGAATTCTTTCAAGTTAAAATGTATAGTCTTTGATTCAGTCTCCTCTTCAGAATCTGCATCCGATGAATGGGGCTCACTTCTCATTGAACCAAAGTCGAGATTGATTTTCAGTGTCTCTCAAAGGTTGTTTTTGATGCAAAACAAGATAGTCAATATAGTAGCCTTCTCAGAGAACCTACATGATTAGCTCGATAGACTAACAGTAAGGTTAAAAACTTGGACACATGAATCAATCCTAGAGATATAGGTACTAGTTATAGAAGATCAGTGGGAATAGTTGTAGTCATGCATATTCAAGTATTTTCCATAACCACTCCTAGATGAATGAGAGAACACATTGCCGTGTTATCTAAATGTCTTGGCAGAATTATCTCTAACTAGGTAGGTATACAGGTATTTCGAATAGATATTCGTTGTGTCCAGACCAGGGCAGAACCCTCTCTGGCTCTTCATATTCCAAAACGTAGCCGTATACTCATAAGTTCGTCAACTGGCTGCCAAAAACTTAGAACTCCCACCAAATATCCTAACCCAGTATCCTAAGCAGTTTCTTCTTCACGCGATATATAAGTCCAGCAGTGTCTCAAAGGACTAGAAAACGAAACAAATTGGCCCGATTCCCGATGTCTTTGATGTCGCAAAAGCTCGGTATCTCCTCTAGTTGGTCGTGCACCATTTATGTCGATTCCATTCATGAGTAAAAGTAGCACATTGTCGCTAGATGGGTATATAAATCTACCAGGTCCTCTGGGCATGCGGCGGCGTCTGCTCTTAGCCTTCTTAGCCAGGAAGCGTGTGACCCAGGTTCTGGATAGCTTTTGGGAAGAAAGTTTATCTGATGGATTTTTCAGATTGATTAAATTAGGTGGACTAGCATCGTAATTGTTTTCTTGGTCTTCAAGTGATTGTAGTGGGTTGCTAAATAAATGTGCTGCAAACTGAGGCTCGTCTTCTTCTGGACCTTGCTCTTCCTCTTCGTTTATGAACTCAGACATTCCATCTCTAAGGCCTCTGTCGTATAAGAAGTAGTCGTCGTCGCTCAAGTTCTCTTCGCAATCGAAGTATTCCTCCCAGCCTTCGTCTTCATCCTCTTCAACACCTTCATTCTCTTCATCAGAGTCTTTCAGAAAAGCGGCTTCTAGCTCAGACTCTTGATCATTCGCCCCCGCCTCTTCTGGTGATTCGATTTGATTGGCAGGCTTGCCGTCATCTTTTCTTTGATCGGCAGTGAGAGCTTGTTTGATGGCATGCTGAAGAGCTTCAAAGTTGAATCTGCTGTATGTTTCCAGACTCCCCCATCGTCCAAGAATATCCGGCATTTGAGATGAGTTTGATTCAGTAGTTGTTTGTGGCAATTCTAGGGGCTCTGCGACAGTTGCTTGGTACGATTTTGATGGTGAAGTTGAGTTCAGGAAGTTTCTCGGTGATTGGGTTCTGTCAATCTAATGAATAATAAATATTGATCCTTACTATTGAATCATGCGGGAATGTTTTTTTGCTTACCGAATCTGAAACTCGCGTCATACACGCTTCTTCTCTCATCTCATTCTCCTTTGCGATCAGCTGGTTGAGTTTTGCAATTTCTTTGTCTGCCCACTCGGCTTCTATCTCACTATGATGAGACATATCGATCAAATATGAAGAGTTTAAGTAATTTCCTTTTCTCTCAAATAGTTTGGTCAACTGTAAGATGGTGCTATAAAGCCAACGATGTTTCTTAAACCTTAAAGTTAAGTAGATAGATTCTTATATCATGAATATCAAAGTAAACCTCTGGTAAGATCTTATGAAGAAGAAAAGGTCTTTGGAAGACAAGTGGTAGAACTAAATATATGCAATATCGTTGTTCACTGTACAGTTTTGTAGAAGTATCTACGGCTTCCATGTATTGATAGGTTGTAAAAAGATTTGATGAATTTGATCGTATCCCAGGTATCGGTGATTCTCATCAAAGTTCATTGGCATGGAGGAAAGTAGATGACATCAGCCAATAACATCAAGCTATTAATCACTACAATTTATGGACCGAAATATGAAAGCCGTAGTTCGCTGATCGATTGAAGTACACCTAAGTTTGGAATTACATAACTCGCTGTGTGTGAATAAGCGACTGATCATAAAAATCTTCAAAATTGCAGCTCAAACACCGAGGCACAAAGCTGCAGCGCGAACTGTACTCCAACGAGAAAACCACTGCTTATGATCACGCGCCCACGAAGTTCTACAGTCAGAGACTGTATCTTGAACCTGCTTAAGATACGTCAAACAATAACGTAGGTTAGAGCAACCCGGCTTAGGCTTCCTCGTATCAGCGCTTCTCGAATCCACTGTCATATGATCTCGTGGCTTCCATTCTGCTCTCTTCACCTCCGCATATGTTAGTTCTATCCCAAGGTTTTTATATTCTAATCTTCTCAAGACACGCTTTCTAACGCTACCTTTAGGAGATCTTGTCTGGTGTCTTCGTCTTCGATGAGGGTTGATTGCCTTCTGGGAATCTTTGAAACGCGTGACCCAATTTTTGGTGGGCCGACTGGATGCGAGCTCTTGATCTCTAACTACTCTTTCTAATGCAGTTTTTAATCGAAGAGGAATGGAGGTAGAGCATTTTCCATCGGCTCCGCTGGTTTTTTCTGCAACATTTCCTCCGCCTCGAATCGTAGTATTTGCATGCTTCACTGGATTCGTGATTGCTTGCTACATTATCAGTTAGCTCGGGAATTTTGTTGAGAACTCTGGATTCCATGCAATCCGAACCGCAATCAATGTTCAGAGAGCAATCTGATAATACTCTGGGTATTAGGATTTTAACTTCATTCCGAACATGAAAGGTAATTCAGAGCTTCAAAGTCTCCAACTCTTGTACCAGCGCAAATTATTGAGGAATCCGAAAACTTAAATATAGTGCTTACCGAGCTTTGCCGAGCATCTTGATCATCCCTTGACTTTTCTGTATTCTCTCCAGCTAAGATGCCATGCGCGTTTGTAATGTTATCCGCTTTGAACAGATCGATTAACGTCGGGCTTACTGGCGATGCAGAGCGAGAAGATATGTTATTATTGTCGGCCGACGCCAGACCATCGTTTTGAATGCTGCTAATCATCGACTGCAAGTTTTGATCGTCTTCGGCTATCCTCTCTTGCCCCCCCGACTCATCGGCGCCAACAGACTCATTCGGCACGTTCGGTTCGTTGCTGGAAATTGAATTAGAATATTTCGGACGGAAACGGTGAAACCAGCTTAATTTCAGACGTCTTAGTTGCACGAGAGGAGCCCACCATGGTGACGGCACTTTGATTGGGTTGTGTGGATTGGACAGTGTGCGAGCTTCCTTGCGAACACGCTGACGTTGACTGAAACCGTAACGTGTCATCTTTTACCAGAATGGTAGATTCTCGCGTTCAAGTTGCTCTTAAATAAAATGAGTATCAAGTTGTACCAAACTTTCTGGAGGTTCCAAAATTTAACAGTAATTAATGATATAGATGAGATTATGTTGATGTGGGTGATTAAAAAGACTTTGCTTGAAAATCCGAGATCTGTACACAAAATTCCAGTTACCAAGTTTTCGGCAACGTCGATGGAAGGTTCTTTCTTTTTCGAGATTGTGACCCCCTATAACCTGGAGATTATGCTCCTGCGGTACTAATTTCCAGTAAGTTGGAGGTGATTTATCAACGAAATGACGTAATTGATATAGCATCATCATCGGGGAGCCATGTTGAATCAGATATCGACGGTTAAATACATAAAACGACGGTGATCAAGTATTGGATACGGTTGAATTTTGCGCTGTGCAGAACTTCATTACATTGGATCATCACGATATACCTAATTCGTTTGCTATGTAGTACGGTAAGTCTTGTGATATTATAGCTACTCGGAGCTTTGATATTTGCGATAAACCTAGATCTACAGTGGATGAACACTCCCGCTTTGTTATATAAATTCGTCAGCAAGATAACCTCCTCGTACGGTCCTTCAGACTACTACCTAGGTAGAAGGGTGTTGTGTGGCGCGAACTTAAGAAGAACTCTTTCTAAATGCACTAGATGAATGAACTAGACTTTTTAAATATTATAATCCCTTTTTCTATTCCACATTGTCACTATTGTAACAATTTTCAGAATTAATCGAGAGCTTCACCTGCTTACCATGCTGATTTGGCATTTTCTCCCGCATTCAATGTCTTAGTCAAGTTGTTTTACCTGGCCCTCATTTCTAAGCATTCTGTAGATGAAAAAATTATCGCAATTTTTATGTCACCATTTTCAAGCTTCAGTACATGATTTGAGGGTGACAAAGACGTTCGTGCATTCGTAATCTCAACAATATCTTTGGAGAAATGAGTCATTCCTTGAACGCCTTCATTTCATGTCGGATCATAAATCTCTTTAACCGGTATAGAGTTTGGAGAGCAATTGCGCCAATCTTTGGGTTGTTGGTAATTTGATCAGACTGCACGTTGTCAGATAAGGGGATGGACTCATTAAGCGAGTTAAAGTGGGTCTATTAAGCTGCCATCCGACCAGTACAAAAATGACCTCCGAATACATATGAACGCTGATGAAAAACAATCAAATAGGTCCCCCACACATGCCGTGTACGAACGAGATTTCCTATGACAGTACCAGTACTCCAATTATTTACTGACTTCAACTTTCGTATCGACTTCAGCCTCCTCCGCACCGTAATCATTTACAGCCACCAATGTATTCTCCAAATACTCATCAAAGATATCATATGGAGTCCAGCATTTTCTGAGAGATGATGGTATCTTTGAGATTCGTCGCCACCATATCCCTGGTAATCGTCTCAATGTTTCTTCTGCAGCCGTAAGGCATGTATCATGCATGCGAACTTTTCTGGCGTTGATCCTGGTTTCGTAACGAGTTGGATCATCGAAATATGGCATTGCTGAGGGTGAGGGAATACCAGGACTAAGGGTGAACATTGGCAGAAGTCTCAAGATTGGTGTTGGGGGTGGTGCGTATGATGGCGGTGATGAAGGTGAGCGAAGAAGCAATGGCGCTACATCTTCGGCAACCCTCAAAGGCTCTTCCATGTCCAAATCTTCCTCATCACTATACTCGGACTGCGATGCTTCCTCATCTTCGGAGATATTGTTGTGGTCCGATGAAGACATAACGAAATCGCTTTCTCGAATGAAGTCGGTGTTACGAACGGGATCTGTGTTGAGAATGGAATCGTTGTTGCGCATCAACTCGGAGATATCCATCAAATTGATACCCAAAGCATTTCCAAAAGCTCCTCCAAAGCTATGAAAATCATGCATTTGCTCTTCTGCCTGCCTGTAATTCTCATTTGTATTCAAAACTTGATTGTCATTCGCAGCCTCAACTTCTGTTGTTTGTCCTTCAACATTTGATTGTTCAAGGGATATTTCAAGGGACAATTGTGGATCGAGACTGGGATTTTTGTGCGACATGACTGAAAGGAAGGCGCAGACGCCAGTGGAGTATTGATTTTTATTTTCAAGATGCCTCAGCTTGCTGTTCCAACTGGCAGCATAAGACCACCAGGGTTTCTGTCAAACTGATTAGCATAACTTGACGACGATATCGTTAGTGAGGAGTTTGCTCACCTTATGTTCACTGCACTTGTCGTCGAATTGATAGATTGTGCCACTTCGAGGATGTAGAGTTTAAAAGAGAAAATTGAGGGGTTTGTGCGAGAACAAACCTGTTTATTCAGAGAATTCTCGCTTGATCATGGAGTGAATATTGAGAGGTGAATTGTCGTCCCCAAGTTAGTCTTGTGATATCCTGTTCCGAATTTGCGCAGTTGAATCTCTCTTATGATAGTTAAACAAGATCATTGCTATAATTTTGTCTTTCAGAAAACAATACTTAAAGCAACACAATAAAAATGATTTTATGAATTGATACATGAGGTAGTCTGTGGTATGTCTTGAAGAGATTGAACAACTTACAGCAGTGTTATTGATGATAATACCACAAAGAAACTAGATTAACAATTTACATGAAATTCGAAAGTCAATAAACTGTGTGATTGGAGGAAAGAGTGATGAAGTGAAGTGAAGTTTGTGATTCACAATTTCCTATTCCGCCAGCTTATTAATTACATTGTGGGATATCCTAGAATGCAGTTCCATATCTGTGACTTCCTCCACCACCCAGTACCTTCCTCAAAGTTCTTATGCATTCAATATAGTTTTTGTAGAAACCATTATCCTCTGATTTGCATCATGTAGTATAATCTCACATTAATCACTCTTCTGAGAAGTCTCTCATGCCATCAGAACTCATGTGACTCAATGTATCCTTGCGACCATCGAAGTGGGCTAAATTTCCGACATCTGTGTTTCAATGACTTCTCTGTTGCAGTCGCCAAACGCACGCTTATTGTGATCCCATGGCGTTGCAGCCTTCTCTTGCGAGCGAGCAAAGCCTTGTGTACCCGACTGTTTTTCGAAAAGCGCGCCGCAAGCACTGAGACTGGTAGTAGTAGTGATTCTCTGCATTCCTTAGAAGTTGACGACTTGATTGGTGCCGGTGGGAGTGGTATTCTGTCGGTTGTGATGAATGTTGAAGGCTGAACTCTTAAGCTTTCGTCACACGAAGCTTCAATGGAACTTTGAGTTCGTATCTTTTCCTTTAATTTTTCTAGGAGGATAAGTACTTCGTCTTGCTCCTCGAAGAGCTCCACCTTGGTCGTATTGGTTCGATCCATTTCCGGTTTCGAGTTCAAATATGAGTCTGACTTGTGATTTGGAAGTTTCTTCGAGATGTCGTGGTAAAATGGGATTTGCACTGGATTTGATCAATGAGTTTTCTGTTGAAAATTTTCAGAAAAATAATTCTCGCTTCTTATATATCTATCATTATTGGCTCTATAATTAGCGCCGTCGCCCAGAAAGGGCCAGTATCTCTAGTCAATGGCCAATCTAAAGCTAGTGAATGGTTCGGTTCTAGCCTGGACTACTTATCTTCACCGTAATATAATCTGTTTCAAATGCGAGAAAGATTTGTTCCATCGAGCTTCTAGGTTTGGTTTGTGGTTTTCATAATCTAGTTGGGTGTTTCCAAATGCGATCGGTTAACTGTCATAATTGATGGGACATTGAATAAACGTGAGCACACATATCTCAATTATTTTCTGTAAACTTATCACAGACTTCTCTTATTGTTACATATGCATAATTCTCTGATGTGGTGGGTTGAAGATATATATTATGTGGACTGTTCTGAACTAAAAAATGCTTTGCTATGGATTGATCTACCCCAACGTCCCAAGGATAGCTTCTTTCAAACCTCGCTGTGCTATCCAATTTGCTGAAATGCTTGGCAATACTATCGTTATATTCCTTCTCAAATGATGTAGCTTCTACTAAAGTTAAGAATGAGCACTCATCTCCCAGTCCTGTAAAAATAGAATCAACTCACCCTCTTCACTTGACCCTCTCCCGCTATTTATCAATAGTATAGTGGATCCTGGGTATCATTAAGATACTTTCGCCTACAGCCAGGCTTCATTCTCGCCGGTCCACTGCCTTGCTCTCCCGTCTCTGGTGTTCCATCACACCATTCACAGTAACAATCTTCAAACATATGGGGACCTTGGCAAACAAGAAAACGACATCTGATCACCTCCGGACTCACTATCTCCTCTGGGATAGAAAAGTATCTGGCAGTATCAATTACAAGTATCCGCATGATGGTTCTTCGCATATTCCCCCATGCAACTACACTTTCTTGATATTCGAACTCCGCATACTCTCTTGGGAGTTTCATTTCAAGAACATAACCGAGTGAATTGGTCTTAGACTCAGGTTCTTTAGATGTAGCCATATTCTCATCGCTAGTTGCGAAATCAGTTGAGGAAATGCTTCTCGTTTCGACGGTCATTACTGCTTGTTGATAAGACTACCTGGTTTCTATAATATGGATATATGAGACAATTAATGATGTGATTAAGGTGATTAAGGTGATTATGAAGGTAATTTTGAAAGCTATGCGATTGAGAATACTTCTGAAAGCTCTTCTAGGTTGGTATTAGAATTCAAATACTATTTGTACTGGCCTTTGAAAGAGCTAATGAGTACTAGTCACTGAGCTAAACTAAATGTAACTAAAATCTTAATCTTTCAATTACCTATGCCAAGATCCTCGTGAAATCTTGACATCCAGCCCTATGTTTAACTCCTTCCCATTCATATCTGACCATCTATTCATGTTACTCTCAAATTTCAGACAATGGATACACATCTATACATTTAAATAGCTTCAAAATCTTTCCATATGCATGTACAAAGAACTTTTGACAGCATTAAAAATTTAAAATCCCTGACTTTGCTATTTAGAAATAATTAATGACCAAACTTTTATCCCTATCACAGATTTATTCGAAAACTAGGATGTTCCCAAAGACAATTTTGATAAAACTAGTTATAAGACTGTCAGGAAGAAGTTCCTCTAAGGTAGATTAGTTGACATAATTCCAGTCTACTTTTTCACCATAGAGAATCATTGACTTATTTTCAATTCACAAGGGTATCGGTTCATCACTCAATGTCAGAATTCTCACAGCGATGCTTCTCGGGTATCAACTCAATCTATTCTTAATAAATATAATTATTGCTTTTTGCTCTTTCACCCTATCCTAAAAGCTAAGTCATTAAATTAAATTCAAATAGCAGACACGATTATAGGCCACTCGTAAATTAGCTCAGGATTATGCGGATAGTGGAGAGAATCTCATAGTCTAAGCTTCTAGAAAAGAAGATATAGACTTATAACAACGATCATATAATTTGAGTGTCATATCTTGCTCCGCAGTTCGAACCCATTTCGATTCTCGCAAAGTCGTCCATATATTTAGACCGCCTGCCAACTTCCCGGCATAACAATATGCGGACGACGTGCTCTTTCAAATGGTCTGCAAGCAATCATTGATCGCCAAAGCCCCGGTTGAGCTGCAATAACAGCCCGAGCCGAAGACCCCGTCTTCTCAACTCCATTCAAGCTATGCATTGTGTTTGTGTCGTCGATCTCGACAAATTCCGAGTTGCATCCACAAGAGCACTCTTCTTTGCAAGTTTGATTTGGTGAAACCGCAGCTTCCTCCTCGAACATTGAGACAAAGCTATCCCCGAGATAGGAATCAAAATCGCTATCAGCATCCTCTTCATATGTGGGGACGCCCAAATCTTGGATCGATTCCGTCGCCATTCCTACTGTATCCCATCCACATCTATCAAAATCTTTTTCTTTGTCAATGATTTCTCCCTGCAGAAGACTGTAACGCTTCGAGCCATCACCAGCTTTTGCTTCACGTGTGCCATGTTCTTGTGGTAAAGGTCTTGAAAACCAATCATCGCAGAATTCAAGTGGTTCGTCACTCCCCTCGACTGTACAGCCATCTTCCTCGTCTTCCTCGAACTTCCCAACTGCCTCATCAATGTCGGCATGGTTTGCATCGTTCTCATAGTTAGAGATTCCTAAGATTGCGGCTCTGCGAGCGGCTCTGAGCTTTTCTTGTTTCTTCTTCTTTTCTTCTGCTGCAATAGCTCTTGCGCCTTCGTGAGTATACTATTTGTTGCGAGACTAGTTAGCATGTGATCGCGCATGATCCCAACCGGCTCCTTCAATTTTTCCTTGGCAAATTAACTTACTGGACATGGTTTCACTGGTTCGGGATATGACCAGGAATCGCGTTCTTCATCCGGATCCCCAAAATGTCTAAGTTCATTTTCCAAACCTCCAACAAGGACTGCGCCATCGTAGTCTGTATTTTTGACAGTGCGCCATCCAATAGCGCGCAATATTTGAGGTGAGAACATTTTAATGGTGTATTTTTCTTGTGAGTGCGATTTTTTTCAGATTTGTCTGCGCCCGGGGTCTTGTAGAAAGTAAGTGAGAATGGATGGCTTTCTGGATTTCTTTCGAGGGCGGGAAAGTAGCTGATATAGATAGAAACATATCGCACATTCAAGTTGATGATCTTGGTAACTTGGTAGGATACTGTAAGAACCGTAAAAATCGTAATCACATATTAATGTCCAGCTTTTAGTCTATCGAAATAAAAATAGTGAATGGAGATCACTGCCGTACGTACGATATTATTAAGATTCATCTGCCGGAGTTCAAGTAAGCTAAGAAAAAATGGCAACAATCACTATCAACAAGGAAGGAACGGATAATAATATGAATCTCTCAAATTGCAGGCTATCTCAATAATCCTAAAAGTAACTAATATATTCATCTTCACCTAAGACCCTAACTTCATCGTCCTATCGCTCTGTCTCTGTTATAATATTTCCCAATTCCAATTAAGTTGAAGATTGGTCTTTCTACTTCATCAAAGTTACTTAACTGGAATTCATCTCTAACTCCTGCCGTGAAAATTATTGCGCTAGATAAGGAAAGCCCTCTCTTCACATACCACCTTCCTTCCGTGCAGCCTAGATATAGCATCTAGATCCCTCTTCACGAATGACTGTCTGGCAGTGTCTCAAATTTGATGGAGTCCAACCCCAAGTTGTTGGTTCCTATGAAGTCAGATTGTCAGTACCACACAGGGTGACGAGGTTTCAAATGAAATGATGGGAATCAGCTATTATTATAAGTTAAGGTGATTCAAAACCTGAATCAAGTATACGAAATCAAGAAATATGCAGACTTACAGAACTACGATAGAACACTCTTGTAGGATGAGCTTCATATTCGCTAGCCTTTACTGTCGTGAAGGACACTTGAATGCAAACCACGTCTTTTCCCATCAATGGGTGATCAATTTGAATCTCTTCTTCAACCTCCTCAAGCTCTGAATGAGAACTGTAGCACGAATCACTATCCCAAATATCGAAGCCACCAAGTTCAGGAGCGCCTTGAACAGAACCAATTCCCAAGTCACAATCGTCCACTACAACGGGGAAATCGCCCTGCCAGTTATCAAGAGTAAGCTCGGTGACTGCTGTAGTTTGATTGTTATCTTGGGCTTGATCCTTCGATTCTTCGATTTCAGGAATGATGCCGAGGAATGCATTTGTATATGAGTATTGGGCAGAGTAGGGTACTGCTCTAGGAATTCTGGATGTCATGTTTGTGCCCAGCTTTCTGTTCTTGGGAGAAATGCTTTCTTCAGGAACGGTGACTACAGCAGCGATATCGTCATTCGACAATGTCTCGAATTTCAATGCGTAATCGTAAGAGTCCATGGTATCTTCGTCGTCAGAGAAATCAATAGTCTGGAGTATTTAACATTAAAAGTGCAATCAAACAGTTGTGAATTATCCATACCTCGTAGTCTCTGAAATCAGATCCTTCTCCTATAGCTGTCTCACTATCAAATTTAGATGTATCAACAAAGTGTCTAGCAGGTGGAGCATCGATGCATTGCTCTTCGAATTCGTCGTTGGCTTCGTCGGCCCAGGATTTGGTCATTGGTGGTAATAAGTTCGCTAAAGACATAGGTGGAACGATTTTCTGTTGTGAGTTAGGGGGTAGCTGCTGTATATATCTTAAATAGATATAGTGGTAGATATCTCAATATAGATCGTTGATCTACTAATTAGTTGCAGGTGTGCTAAGTTGTTGTAAACAGTTGTTCGAAAGTAGAGAGTCAGTGGCCTGATATTCGTTTTTTAAAGTGTTTGGGTTCAAAAAACATTGCTTTGTAGTGAATTGGTTTATTTATATTTATAATTTGATTCACGTAATGAGAAATTTAAATATGTGTGAGTAGATGAGGGGTGCCACACTAATCCCAATCATTGGTACTAGCCGTATTTCGAAAACCCTTTTACTTTACTGGTCAGGTAGCTGTACATCTAAAACTTATTGGAAAGCAATTTATGTTAAGAGATCGTATGGAGCAAATAAGCACAAGGATGTAACGGTTTTGTGTAGCAGTAGTCATGACGCAGTATGAAGGAGTGTTTTACACATCAAAATTTCGAGATTCACAAATCGACGATAGTAGGTATACGGCTATGGATGCAATAATCCTCCAAGCTCACACAGTGCCGCCTTTTTGTATCACAGAAGATCCTCACTGAGGCTCAGAAGCAAATGGAGAAATTATGAACTGAATTCTGCTATCTAGTCAGGGTGACCTGAGATGCGTCGTAGAATGTGATAGAATCACTGGTACTCAAACTCTGCATCATAACCGTACATCCATTTTCTACCATTTATACATCCGATATAATTATCAAAGCATCTTTATCGGCGGTCTTGTGAATTCCCCCATACTCTCTCCTCCCCGTCTTTCCTATGGGAACATGACTTCTCTCAAGGGGGACTGTTTCTTGACCCACAAAGGAGTCTCGCTCTTGACTCTCCACTCTTCACCACCTGGCCACAATAATGCTTCTCGTAACTTAGAATCCTCGACCTGTTACTCTGTCAATTCATTTTGTGTGGCTATTTTTAGTCGTAAGACGCTCACCTTTTCTTTTGCTTCTTTTTCTATTGCCATATTCAATTTCTTGTAGAACACACGATCGAAATGGCTCATTTCGCAACCGGCTATTCCACTGATATTAATCTGAAGATTTGTCGTATCCTTGAGGGAATCGTCGAGGTTATTTTTGTTGCTCGCACCATCTGGCAATTTGCCGACGTCAACCTACGATGTCTTCGATTAGTGTTTTTGCTTCATCAAGATGGCAACGTCTTTTCAAGCTGTCATGGGAACTGGCGAAGGAAAGATGACAGGGGGGAAGATGAAAAGTTCTAGTAACTTACTGCCTCTTTGGTATCATCTACCCTATCGGAAGTCATCTTCGCTCTTTTATTTTCGCTGTTGGTCATTGTGTATCGATGAATGTAGAATACTTTTCAAAATGATTTTGCAGTGGAAATCTTACTGTTTTTAAGAAGATTGGAAACGAAAAGCTAACACACGTCATGTTTTGGTTTGGGGTACTAAAACTTGGCTAGATACTACTAGTGTCACCAATAATTCGGTTATTGGAGCTCTCAAGGGGCTAGACAATGTTAGTGGAAAAAACTTTTCGCTTATTGACCTAGTATACATGCCAAAAAGTCTAGTATCGTACCTATGGAATTGATCTTGTATGGAGTTAATGAAAGACATGACATACCATGGAACTCTCATCGCTATTTGGCTGGTAACCAGGCGCTACTTGCCCCTACCATAACCCAAAAGCTCTAGGGAACCACGTGGGTCTCAGGTCTAGCTCGATCTCAAATGGCTCGCTCACAAAAGTAATTGTTCAACATCTCAAAACGAGTTCATCCAAATCTATGAGACAGACTTAACCGATACTTCTGAACATCAATTGCATACCATTGTAGACAAATAGAATCTATCAAAGGCGGCAATGAATGTTAACATGGGAATGAACAGACCCTCGAAATCGATGAAACGACAAACTACTGCCCAATTTCTGCAGCGATGAATTGTGATCGAACCTTTGAAGATTTGGAAGTTTAAGGAAGCCATTAGACAGAAATGTATATAATAAAGACAGGTAGAGGAAAGTTAATGTACCTCTACATCTATCATAGAATATCGATTTCCATCTGCACACACGTCAAGCACAGCACAATCATGAACTAGCCAAAAGATTGCACGAAGCTTCCAATGCTTCTCAAATTGTGCAATGTTTACCACCGATGCCAACCTATGCCTTACTGTATTCCAACCACATCACCAGTCTTCCTACCTGTAATCCTCGATGTTTATCTCCAACCAAATCGCCGAATCCGCCTCGTCCGTAAAAATCCCCCAGTGGGTGTCAATCACTACCCTCGCCCCCACCCTCGGGTACCTTACTGTCCTCCGCAACAAGAGTCCAACATTTCCTCAGAGGGCTTGGTTGCGCACAAGGAAAGTTTCCATATTTTTCATCCGCTTTCGTTTGCTCCACTTCTGTGCTCTTGATGCCATACACAATTAACAAAACCTCCTCTTTTCGTTTCTCTCGTTTCTTTATTCTCTCCTGTCTAGCTTTGTCGCGGTCTGATAGTTTTACGATTTCTGATGTCGACTTGTCATTCTCAACCGTAGTGGATTCATCTTCCAGCAGCGGCATTGCTGTTCTGGTTTCAGAGTGATATCTCTTAGGTGTGAATGGGTTTGAATAGACAAGGTTCTATGGAGAGAAAGTTTTAGCATATTTTCTTTTTGAATGGTGAGTGAGGGGAGTTCTAACTGGAGATTAATCTTATACTAGATCAGATAGGTGAAGTAGGTGAAAGTCCAACAAACTCCTGGAATCCAATCTTTGTATAAAAATATCAAGTTCTGTAAATCAAGCCGGTAGATTTGTGAAAGGTTTTGTTTCTTCACAAGAGTTTGCTTTGTATTTGTACCCGGGTCTTTGACACCCGAGGCTATTGTACTGCAGCTCAAATTCACTACTCCTATCACATAACATTTTTTCCCCAATCTTTTGGCCTTTTTTCAGATCTACCTAAGTCCTCGAACCACTCTTTCATAGTGAATACGGTTCCTGGTAATTGAAGAACAATGATTTGGTGAACTCTGCGGCACCAGTTGCTGTATGCATTCACAAAGAACTTTCCAATGCTGACCTGAATCTACCTAGCTACAGTACAGAGTTGTATTGTCTTGTATGACTTGATTCATTCATGGCTTTAGTAGTTCCATGATGCTCTAAGATCACAGAAATACTACAAGAACATAATTCGCTGTATCCAGCTAGTATACTAGAAGATTGTCACTTAGGCAAGCCTCGAAGAAGGTTATAAAGTGTAAATACTTGTTCATTTGTACAATGGTAATAAGTAATAAATAGTATTAAAGAAGATAGATACAGCGCTTCTGTTTATCAATTCATCACAATTCCGCCATCAATGACCAACGTTTGTCCTGTCATATAATCACTATCTGGACTTGCCAGATAACTAACACATTTGGCCACATCTTCTGGAACGCTCGTTCTTCCAAGTAAGATGAGATCATCAGTATACTTCTTGATCGTCTCTCCTTTCTTAACACCTTTCGTCTTTCCCAGCTCCTCGTCAATCAAATCCCACATGGCAGTGCCAACTATGCCCGGTGCGTAGCCATTGACAGTGATCTTATGTTCTGCCATTTCCATAGCAAAGGCTTGAGTGAAACCTCTCACGGCAAACTTTGAAGCACTGTAGTGGGAAAGCATAGCGAATGGCTTGAAAGCAACGATACTAGGGAATCACTTAATAAATAATCAAGTGATTTAATTTCGATTCGCTTTGGACATACCTGGCAGCACCAATTATCTTTCCACCTCCGCCTTGCTTGATCATTTGCCTCGCAGCAGCGCTGTAGCAATTGAAAATTCCAAAGACATTGACGTCAAACATCTTCCGAACTTCGTCCTCAGATAGTGATAAGAGCGACTTAACTTGTGCAATCCCGGCATTTGCAATCATGACATTCAAGTTTCCTAGATTCTTAACTGAAGCCTCAATGAGACCTTCGACCTCAGACAGTTTGGACACATCTGCGGCGTGGCCATATGATGCTCGGCCCATACCCTGTATCTCTTTCACCACCTTTAAGCCATTTAGTACTCTGCAGACAATAGAGAGTTTTCCGAATACCAACCTCGTCGATACCAGCTTGATTTGCAGGAATATCATTTATACAAACGTCAAAGCCATCCTCTGCCAGCCTAATTGCGATGGCCTTGCCGCTATTTACTCGTTAACTGGTTGAGACTTTCCGAAGAAGCTTCTGAGACCTCACATTCCCCTCGCAGATCCCGTAACAATGACCGTTCTCTTTCCATAATCTCTGGTAACTGCAGTGCTGCTTGCCATTTTAACTTTAAGCTGTGATCCGAAGCGAGTTCTGGGGATTGCACAAACAGTCGATGTGCTTCGCTGAAAAGGTTGGAGGAAGGACTTTATGATCTGAAGTTCTAGCAGGAGCCATAAGTAACAGTGCGGGGGACCGCCGGTAGTACAATAACATCATGGATTCATTCCGTACGCCCATGAAATGATTCTGCCAAACGTAGAGAGAGGGGTAGATAAGATTCGCGGGGTCAATTATCTACCCCACACAAGCCCCATGTTGCAGTGTAGCTTCCTATTGGTCACCAGCTATAGCGCTATGCCTGTGCGTAGTATATCTCGGATCTCTCTGTCAAAAATGCGAGTACTAGTCATTCCTTGGAAGAACATAGGCCGCCGGTGAGCTCGAAAATTGGTAATTTATGACAATAACATAACAATATCCATTCTATTGTGGAGATGCTTCGTTCCCAGAATTAGAGAAAGCCCTCACATGATTACCTAGGTACACAGCTAGCAGATCTGTTCATGATTCCTTTGCATACCCCTACCAAGAAAACGAGAGTCGCACATTGTTCTACAACTCATTCGTGTCGCCAAAGTCGTTACACCGTCACCTCGAGGCTCTCAACTCCATCCATTGAACACCCCAAGTACCAATTTACTCTCCATCTATGGTGCCAACGATACTTACAGATCTGGCTTTTCTTTCGGGGCCCAGATTCGATATCGAAGTTATGAATCTTGTTTCAGATGGCAATATCTTGTGTTTCCTCTCACGGCAGGGTTGAGATAATATCACCATCTATCCTTTCTTGACATAATCTTACATTTTTCTTATCTTGTACTATCATGACTGCACAGCTTTAACAACTTCAAGCAATATACATCCACTAACCGGCAAGGCTCCCATAAGCCTAACTGAAGACTGCTGAGAAGGCTAATTCATACACGAGCAAACAAACAGCGATGGCCTGATATCAGCTGAGCCTTCAATAAATCCAGAGAGCGGAGCAAAGATGCCAAGATCTCACACGATCCGACAACCCGTCATTTACTCCAAGATACCGTCGAAACCCCAGATGAATCACATCAGTGATAAAGAAGAATGAGTGAATGGACAGATAAAAAGCCTTACGACGTTCCTATGAATACCTCGCGCAAGACTTCTCACATCGAATAGTTGAAAGAGGATCTTTCCAGCAATTGGGCCATGGTCACCAGAGAACTGGCGAGCCACTTATTCTCAGCCTTTGAGCGAGGATTTGGGGGTCGGAGCAGCTCGAGAATTTGGTTCGAAAATAGCGAGAATAAAATACGATGAGAGGTAGAATATTAGTTTAACAATAATTATTAGGTATTGAATAAAATGTCGTTGTCGTTTTGTCGTATATATACTGTCGAACTCTTTCTCTTGCCCTCGTCTCTAAAAGTCTACACTGATCAGCTTGAATCTTTCTCTACCTAGGTACTTAAAGGGATTTTCACAGTTGATATTGCAGGAAATATATATATATATATATATATTCAAACAACATCAAACTGCCTTGAAGAATCCCACGGAACGACTCTTCCGAGAAAAAGCAAACCCAAACCTAACAATAAATAGCTTTCCCCCCCTCCCAAGCCTCCCCAGATGAACCACTCACACCCCACCGGAAGAAATAAAACCCATCCACCAAAGCCTCCCAAAATTACAAGGCTCTCCAAAGATCAATCAATATCAGCCGACATCCACGCCACACCTCATGAAGTTTCATCGGATCGGAAGCAATCCTATTGGAGCTCACTACTGAGGCCGATAACGCGCATTTGAACAATACTCCAAAAATAGATTTTCGCCTAATGAAAAAAGAAATTTTAGAATCTGTATGGTGTGTTTATAGAAATCTTATTTTATATAATAGAATTCGATCTTATCGAAGACTTTTTATATAAAAAATTATACTATTGAATAGCCCTTAGGGTTAGCTTTATTTATTTGATTTTAGAATCCATTTCGAAATTTTCTATAGGAAGTGTACTGATATTTAAAATCTTTTTTTAAACAGTTTTTCTTATAATGCATGGACTACTCGAGAATAAGCGAAAAAGCTTAATAAGAATTCTTATCTAAAGCTCGAGCACAAGCTTATCTCGCTTAAATGGTATGACTAATATAGCTTTAATTGGATTCTATAATATTAAGAAAAAAAAAGTTGAATTCAGTACACAACCCTAAAGAGATTTATAAAATAAAAAAGAAAGTAGCATAATTATTAATTAGAGTTTAAGGAATCGATTCATATAATTACTTTTAAATTATTTCAAAAATTGAAATTTATATTCAATATAATATAATTTTAATCAATGAATCCATTAGTTATGGATACCTCAAATATTAGGATTGATAACTCATCAGACCTCTGATGGGCTGATGACTAATCGAACCTTGAATGATCTCATCAATATTAAAAAAACATTCAACTCAGTACACAACCTTAAAGGAATTAATAAAATGAAAAGAAAAGAATTACAATTATTAATTAGAATTTGAGGAATCGATTGATATATTTCTTTTTGAATTATACTGAAAATTGAAATTTATATTCAATTTAAAAGTATTCTAATAAATTTAAATAATAATCAACTTTCAGAATTGAATCTTTTATTCTTTAAATACTTTTAAATTGAATATAAAATTCAATTTTTGGTATAATTCAAAAAGAAATATATCAATCGATTTCTTATATTCTAATTAATAATTATACTTCTTTTCTTTTCATTTATCAGTTCCTTTAAGGTTGTGTACTGAATTGAATACTTTTTTCTGTATAAAAGCACACCACTAAATTCTAAATACGGTTTTAGTTTAAGCGAAAATCTATTTTTGGAGTATTGTTCAAATGCGCGTTATCGGCCTCAGTACTCACCCCCAACACGAACAGGAACACCCATGAAACATCCCCAGCCCTGTTTCAACCCGCCCAAGAACCCCGAATCCCCTTCCGCAAGAGGCTACCAACCACACTCTGGGGATATCCTAAACCATGGAAGCTAAGTCGACACTATCGAGAGGCCATCAATACCATTGTGCAACCCTTTTTTCCCTTGTGGGAAGTTCTCGCAGCCGTGCTGCTGACCCGGTCGGTACTGGTCTTTTCGTTGCACGTCTGTAATTTAGCTCCATCTATTTGTGTACTAGTCTCGCTATTCATTCGCTCAAAGGCGGGAAGATTGATCCAATTCTCACCCCTCTTGCACGTGCATGTTTGGTTAAATATACTATATTATTTCTTCTACATTTTCTGCATCTATAACTTGGCAGCTGAGTCATCGGAATCGAGAAGATTTTTAAATGCGGCATACACTTCTTCAGTAAGGTCACTGGCTTGTAGACTTCTACCCTTTTTGGCAAAGGCCAGCCTCGAGCATTCCTATCTTAAATTAGTATTTGCAAGTAGGGATTATTTCTAGGAACTCTTACTCTTGTGATACTACTGCCTCCAAAAGCCGCCAATGCTAATGATTCAATATCATCAATGTCTCCCTCATGCTCCCATAATCTATCCAAATACGCCTTTCTCCACCCCAAGAACGTTGCCAGGCTACCAGTCAACGTATCACCTTGTCCACCACTTCTCTTCAGCCCTCCTTCAATATCACTCACATACGTCTTCTCCCCATTAGAAATATAATCCCGCGACCCCTTCTGTATAACCGTAACCCCTCCAAACGCCCTCGCCAATTTCTCCGCTCCCTCCGCCCCATCCAACCCTTCAACATCAATCCCCTTACTCTTACACAGTCTCCCAAACTCCACAACGTTCGGCGTCAATATACACTCCTTATACCCTTGCACCAATTCCGGTTTCGTCTGCACCAGCTGCAATCCATCCGCATCCAACACAAACGGCATATTCTTCTCCCTCGCCGCCTCAAGAACCTTCGCACACGTTTCCTGCATCAATTTATCTCGTCCCAATCCCGGTCCCACAACTATCACATGCAATCGCGGGAGCATATCAATAACACTCTGCGCGATCGAGCTCGCCGATTCCGTCATCTTCGCATGCGAAGATTGTCGCATCAGCGGGTGAACCATGAGATTCGGAGAGTACGTCTTGATGACTTGTGCTGCGCCAGGTTCGCAGATGACATGACTCTATACATTTCAATATTAGTTAAATCGCTATCGATGTGAGAGATGGTAGGGAAAGTCGTACCATGTCTGCGCCGAGTCTTGCACTCGCCATTGCGGAGAAATATGGCGCGCCGGTGTAGTCCTCACTGCCTCCAATAACAGCTATCCTACCCATTTGTCCTTACATATGTTAACTGATTGTATATTTACGCAATAATTAAAGATGTAGGTACCTTTGTGAAATTTGCTGAGCATTGGTGGCACAATCTTTTTGACTTTCGCCAGAAGGTCAAACGTCGCTTTCGACATTCCTTGTATATCTTCTGACATTGGAATTTTGAGAAACAGTTACAGATTGTTCGCGAGTAGATTGATTAAAATGTATTCGTTCCGAATATTGAGATTGAACAAGGTGGTGAAAAGACCGTTGATGAATGAAGGAGGGGGTGGAATGCTCTCTCTCTCTATTTCACAATGACGTAGGTCATCAATTATCTCCTTATCGCCAAAATTTCCACAATTTTCGGCTTCACTTGCACGCCGAATTGTAACCTCATCAATAGCAACGCCACCTAATATCATACCACTTCAGTACCTCTTCATATTATTAGATCTAATTAACACAGGTGTGAATTCTCAAGCTGGTACCTCGTATTACAAGATGCAATCTCATCTGTTTACATTGCTACGATTCAGTTGGGTCAAGATCACACGATTTAGGTATGTACTTGAGCACAAAATCTTACGATGGGAGGCCATTTTATTTCATTTCTGCATCCGGTGTTAAAACCCCATATTCGAGCTTAATACATAATCATTTTCACACGAGACTCGATTCCGGCCTGCTTATTAAGTACGATTTCAGGCAAATTGAAGTTTTTAGATGATAAAGCAAGTGTATCTTGTAATTTCATCTCGCCTCGAAGATCATAAATTTCCCGTCAACATTTCAATGAGAAAGCAATGACGACTAATATCACCGCTCATTCTATGATAAAGCCGCGTTATTTGACTCCTAATAAGTCCATTCCCATCAATTCTCTCTCTAGGCGCGAAACACCACGCATTCATTATCGGAAGCTTTGAGGGACCAATGTTCTATTCAGGAGCTTTCAGATATAGCAGCATAATTAGATCAATATCTAAGACTTGAAGACTTGACCGAGATCCTGACCATCGTTGTAGAAACCAACACCGTCCATCTGCGCTAACATGGTACATGCGGGTTTGATGAGAGTGTTAGAAACTTTCTTTGCTGCCAGATCCTGAGCCGTCCATTGTACCTCCTCGCCAAGCTCGAGTGTCATATTCTGTTCAAGAAGTTTGTCCATCGCCACAGATGTAATGGAAACTTCTTGCCAATTCGTCTCGACGTTGAGATCTCTTTTCTCCTCTTGGAAAACATACACCAAGATTCCTTGATCTTTAACCTGCAATTCGTGACCACGAGATTTATCCACCTCTGTGATATTCAGTTTAGCGTTTCCATCAGGACTGATATAACTTCTAGTCTTGCGAATCTTCAGATGATATATAATGAAATAGTCCATTATGTGCTTCGGGAGTTTAAGCGCGTGATTTGGTTTCTCGTTTCCAGGACTAGAACATATAAGTCAGTTCGAGTTCCTACTCCATTGGAATTTCAAACTTACGGAATGTAGAGGGTTCGTTGTATCTCTGTAGCTAGCTCGTCATAACCAGGCCAGTTACTTCGGATATCTTCTTCGTCTTCAATTCCCTCGACATTAAGCTGCAGATCCCAGTGACGCATTGTACCATGGACATACGTTCCGCCGCATCTTTTCAACACCACAATGTGAGTTTCGAAGGTCTCTGCATCGATCTCAATGATAAACAATTTGTCAGTACGCAATTCTAGGCATGTGAACTCATAGGTAACTTTCCACTCGGAACACTTCTCGGACCAGAGACGAACACCTTCATTGTTTTTGAGGTTAAAGAGGAAGGTGGTATCGGCTTCCAACGCTGTTAGGATATTGGTGAACGTAACTTCAGGGCCATCTCCCTCCCTAAGTTTGGCGCCGATCGGGGGGTACAGATGTGGAATAATAAAGTCCTCATCATATGGTTTGTTCTGTTCCTCTTTCGAAACAATCTTCACCGGGAGATTACCCAGTAAGATTCTACCAAAGTCTATGTGCACCTTGACCTCGCCGCGAAAGCCTCTCACTGGCGACATCAAATCACTAAACATGAATTCGAAGTTTTTCAGGAATGACTCCTGTTGCATTGGCACAATGACCGGCTTTGCCACTTCTTTTTTGATTGATGCCTTTTGACCCATGGTCTTGTGGAAAACTCGAGTACGAGTCTCATCCTCTTTTTGACGGCGAGGCTGCGGCAATTGATTTTCGCGACGAGCTTTTGACTCTGAGGAGCCCTCACGTTGGGGAGAGGGTAATATTGGCCAATTGTTAGGAGAGATCAAAGTAGGCTTCGATCCTGGCAGTTCGGGATATGCCATTGAGTTCAAGAGCTCATTACTAGGATTCGATGTTGAGCCTCTCATCGAAGCAGGTGCCAAATTCATCAAGCTCTCAAGCTCTTCCGACGGAAGCTGTGGCGATGCCAGCGACCTCAGCGAGGATGATAGTGCTGGTGGTTCTAAGGCCGTAAACTTTTGAGCGCCTAAAGCATCAGAGTCGTCTGCCGTATCAAATATCCTCAAATTAGGGGATCTAGTTGGACTTGAGCTAATATCAACAAGCGTATTCTCCGTAGCTTTGTGTCTCAATGCGTTCCAATCAAAACTCGCCAATTCCGCATCAATTGCAGAATCAAGAAGACACGACTGCGTAGTACAAGGCTCGATTGTAACTCTATCCGTTGAAAGCTCCCCTATGCATATATTAGCAGGAAATTTGGCTCTGGCACATCAAACCTCACGTACCACTTAGCAGGTTTCTCTCTAACTCTGAGGGAATACCTCTATATTTTGCCGGAGGAGGAGGCACACTGAGGTTGGCTGGTATCTCTTGATGAATTGTATGGTTCCAACTTTCGGCGTTCGGCTTCTCATATGCTACGTATGAGTCCGATTCCGAGGCCATTGCCAAGCGAGCTAAAGAATTCAGGCTCGTGTCCATAGTGCCTCTCCAGTCTAAAATATCCAATCCCTTCGAAGCATCGGTAGTAGTAGTGGCATTTGCTACCCAGCCCTCAATATCAACGCATGTTGGACTGATATCTTCATTGCTTGATTTGACATCTTCCTTTTCTCGTCTCTCAATCTCCTTCTTGTATCCACCAGGAAAGTATTTCACGGGATCATTTTCTGGACTTCCTCGAGACTTCCAAACAAATCCAGCCCATGGCTTTGTTGCAGAGATTTGTGTACTTAGACTTGGGACTGCAGGAGTGTACTTGCCAATCTTTATCGGAATAAATGTTACTTTGGTTGTGCTCCATGGACAAGCTCTAACTGTAAATTTGGTCAATAGAAATCCGGGAGGATGCTCTTGTTCAAAAAGAGTAGTTTCAAGGTATTTCTTCTTGATCTCTGAAAACGCTTTGATGATAAACTTGCACGGTTCTACTTCTTCTGTATAGAAAATATGATACTGCGAGGCATATGTCGACTTCGCATGTGGTCAGCTTCAGGACAGTGAACGAGAAGGAATATCTTGAGATTCCACTTACACTATACTTCGCAATATTGTTGAGTTTATTGACAACTACATCAACACTGCCACGCTTGTCTGAACCAATATAAACCTTCGATTGGCTAGGTGACTTCACAATCTTGCTGTCTGTTATTGTCTGCAACTCCAGGACTATGGCTAGCTTCAAGAACTCGTCAATTAACTCTTCTCCATGATAGATCCAGATGTCGCGATAACTATACGTCTTGATAGTATCTGGATAAAATGTATCATCTGAAGCTGGATTGGGTGAGCGTGTGTGTTGAGACGGTTCGTACTCATCCACTTTCACGATTAAATCGCTGTGAAACTAACAGTATCTGAGCAATTATTACGAGCATATCGTGTTGGAATTGTATACCTCAGCTGACCATTCGCTACATCCATCTGCTTCTTCATGTTCATCATCGGAATCTCGATCACCACCTTCTTGTACAACTATCGCTTTCGTGATCTGATTCATCTCTTCTAAAAGGGGTAGGAGGTGTCTTTCTGAAAAAAGCTTGAAATAATGATCCTGATCGAGCCATTGAATATAGCCGTCCTAGTATTCTGTCAGTGACAATGTTTGTTAACTGCCAGTGGCCACAGTGTATTGAAGTAAGAAAGCATGTAGTGTCTCTTAAAAAAATCATCTGCGCTGAGTGTATAGATGGAAAGATACTCTAACGGCCATATTTCAAATTCGTCTCGAGAAGTCGTTGCTGTATGAAACCGGACTTTTGAACACACGGCAACGTAAACGGCGGAGTAAAGTATCTCACATGGATTAAGAAGGACTACTTACAGCGCGCATGCGATCTCTCTTCTCTGCGAAACGTTTCTCAACTTCCATAACTCCTGCTGGCTTGAAGTGCCATTCCGAAGCAATAATGACTGTTGAGATTCCACTTCTCGCAAGAGTTCCTAGATCATTGGTATCGGACGATGCATCAGTAGCAGATGAGCTGCGCGCAGCGCTTCCTCTAATATCTGCGCTCATTGTTGAAAAATTGCTGTTGACGGTGGACCTTACTTTGTTGTCAGCGGTATATCAAAAGTCCCAGTAAATTCTTCGAAAGAAGATGAGAGAAGAGGTAAAACTGAATGTGATATCAGATCCACATGACTATGGGTTTGAAGGTGAAATCAATCTAGGTGGTATTGTCGTTGTTGTGTGCGTGGGGCAATATTGCGATGGGAAAAGAAAGAGATTTGGCGAGGTGAATAAGGAAGGAGGGAAAACATCAGACGATATCAAGAACTGAGCTAGTGAGAAAAGGCGACCTCGTCAAAGGTACTGAAGCAAAAGATAATACCGCAGTGTATATGTCAGACGGACGATTGTAATGGTTTAGGTTCATGTAATTTTACATAAACTCGATTGTTTGTTTGTCAGTGACGCGGGTACCTGCATGCGCCAGTGGCTGCACGACTTTACACCTCTGTTGCAGGTCGCACAGTATCAAAATAAGACGAAACGTCAGCGAAGATGGAAGAACGGGCAAAATGATACTTTACTTCTGCATCAATTCATGATCTAAGATCAGAGCAGCTATTGCACAATAGAATCATTAAAAAGAAATTCTAGTTCATTCAATCATCACCAATAACCCTGGCAAATCTAACTCTGATGAACTTCCCAGTGTTTGCCCCAATGTACAATTCCTAGATATGATGATCTTATGTAGACACAAGAAAGAAACTCCTTAACACCCTGGGCTTCGTGGCCCAAGTTCAACCCGAGATACCCTAACCACAGTGTTTAATGTACAAAAGCGCAGAAAATACAACTGTATCCTGTTTCTCCAATGCAATGCAGTCTTTCATATCGCTGGATCGCTCGAAGAGAATATCGTAATTGAATGTAATTCGAAAGTAGATGATTGATGTGTGTGTGTGTGTGTGTGTGTGTGTGTGTGTGTGTCGAGATTGCGGAATTCAAGTAGTAAGAAAGTTCTTTGAGTCAGTGAAATTTTTACGAGTCCAAGACTTGAAATTGGTAGTCGGGCTTCTTATTCAGCCTCTTTGACGTATTTTTTGACATTGAGAGCCCATCTCAGCTCCCCAAGAACCTTCTGCGTCTCTAACATAATCTCCTCGTTGGCCTTCTGCTGCTTGCTTGCATTTTCTTTGATATCCGCGAGAGATTTCTCCTTCTCTGCCTTGTACTCCTCATATTTCCGATCAACTTCATCCTTTTCTCTCTGCAGTGTTTTGAGTTGCTCGGCTTGCTGTTCTGCAAGACGTTTGAGCATGGTAATCTTCTCGTCGTCGGCTATCCTCTCCTTCACAATGATCTTGATCTCCTTCTCTAGCTTCGCTACCGTTCGATTGGCGGACTTTTCCTGGTCCTTCCAATGGTTGGTCATGACATTGTTTCTTCCCTCGTATAGCTCCGCCCGGTTCTGAGCTTCTTCAACCTTTTCCTTGCATTCCATTTCCAATTTCTGCATCTCAGTCTTCCAAAATAGCTCGCCCTCAGTAGCTTTCTCGGCCTTGTATCGTTCCGCATCAATTTTTTCTTTGGCATCCGCAAGTTGTCGCTCCCTCCTCTTTAGAACCGTTGAATTCATGGCAGCGTCGCGCAATTTCCGCTCCCATTCTTCGTTTTCTTGGGCGAATCTGCTCTCAGCCAGTCTTGCTTGATCGAGAGCCTCTTCCGCTCTCAGCCTCTCAATCTTGACATCACGCTTCAACATGTCATTTTCCTTTGTAAGTCGCTCAATCACTCTCCCCGACTTCCCCAAGTTTGCCTTCCCAATAGCGGAGTTGAAGTCTTCGCCATCATTCGCGGCGATATCTTCCACAACATGTACATTGCTACTCGAGTACTTGGTAGGGCCAAATTCGGTAGATATACTTCTGACAACTCCTCGGGGCATTCCTATCGCGGACGGATTCTGTCGACTGAGTGGTGGTTTCGAACCATTTATAGAATTATAGCTAGCTTTTCTTGGGGTGATAGGTGTAGTGGACTCGTTTTGTGATTGAGGTTGCGCAGTCGGGCTGTCGTCGTAAGAATTTGGACCGAGTCGAGAGTCATCAGAGGGTACGGATCTAATTGTGCCCGTCGAGGATTTGAGTAAGGACGGATCCGTGTTTATGTGAGGCATGTTCATTGCGTTGGAAGAGAGTATCGTGAGAGGGGCATGTGTAGGACTTTGCATCCTGTTAATATGGGGGGACTCGAAATCTGGTAAGAATACTGGTTAGTCATTGTTCAAGAGCGCAATGAGTACCAGACTTTTGTTTACTAAGTCGAGGGAGTTTTGCATAAAGGGACAAACAATTATTCAATGGACCACGAATTGTTAATCTTTTCCCGGTGTTTCCAATTCTTCATTGACGTCTATTAAAATTTAAGGTGCAGATCATGATATCTTGCGATAAGAATTCTGGATCATAATTAGAAATGCAAGCTTACCTGTACTTGGAGATTCCGTATGAGTATGGGTATCTCGTCTCGAGGATGTATCCACTGGAGGAGTTTCTGCTCGAGTTGGCATTGCTCATTTCTCCTTTTCGCAATCTAGGATAATCCTATCAAGCCATACACGACTTCCATGAGTTGTTTGAAGTTATGTGCAATCTTTTATGCGTGTAACGAAAACGATGCTACGAGTGACCGCCTCTCCTTGCGTGGGGTAATAGATATAACGAATGATGGGAAGAATGACCTTTTTACCTAAGAGGGCTGGCTGGGGCTTTAATCATAAAAGATATCGACAATGCAATGCAGTCCGTCGCCTTTTCCGCGTTACTGTAGTTATGTAGTTATGTAGTTATGTTTTTCTCAGTCGATGCTTTTCGAGTTTCCCAGATAAAGGATGGAAAGCCCGTATGGCAATTAAATCTCATCCAATGAATCTGGCTGACCGAGCAACGAATCATGTAAGCCCCAGTAATGAAAGGACTAAAAACGGGCTAACCTGTCAATGCCGGTAGGGGGTGTATGGTGGGCAAGACCTAGTAGGTAGGTATGTATGGTCTGGTATGGTCCCATATGCTCGCCATGTTCCTTTTGTTACCTTTGCAGGACAGTACTGGTGGTACTAGTATGTACGTCAGAGAACATGAAGTGGAGCGAAAAAAGGTATTTTGATGTCGGGATATCCACGATGTACTTATATCCAGCATCTCCAAATGCACTTGTAGCTAAATTTACCCACGACGGCCTACCTACTCTGTAGATTTTCATGCTGGCTCTACACTTCGTACAACACTCATCGGTAGATACCTGGTATATCTGTCAGTGCCGGTCAGTGTCAGTGTCAGTGTCAGTCATCCAAAGGTTGGTAACTCATATTCTCCGTGGGTGATTTTGATGTCTTAAACTCTTAATCACATCTTTGACGGGTAAACTAGGTGAGGTCAGGTGAAATTGGGATGTCCCCTATTATTCCATTTCGTTTGTCCTGGTGTCCGGAGTACGAAGCATACTACATATGGATGCCCTACCAATGAATAAATCCTTACCTAATCAAAGCATGAAGAAATTCGTAAAGGGTGGTTTTGAATAGATCTATCATAGATTATCATAAATTACAAGAAGCTTCCTTTCCATTGATTTCATAAGTTTGGCGTTTTGAATTTTGGCTCTTTTAAATTTTAGTGCATTGGTTCTAATCAGCGTTCTCGCGTTCTAAGCCTCAATAGCCTCTTACCTCTCTCTCTGCCTCTGCCTGAGTCGATAGTCGATAGTTTTCCGCTAACAAACCTTTTACAGACAACCATCAACACTTTCAATACCCGTGGACTACCCAGGATACTCAAAATACCCTTCTTGGAGTCTTGAATACCTAAGACCATCCATCCTTTTTCTTCTACTTTTTTCTTTTCTTCCCTTCCCTTCCCTTTCCTTCTCTTTCCTTTTTCCTGTCTTTTTCCTTTCTTTTATCCAGTCGATCTTGGTTAGTGGTCGTAAAATCTATCTTCAACAAAATCAATTGAAATTGAAGCGTTTCCAAAGAGAAAGCTTCAACATTCGTCCATTGGGCACTACCCGGAACCTCTTGATGCACCCCAGATCCTAATTGTCGTGCAGGAACTCTAGTTCTTATATGATATCATCATTCTGAGTGAAGATTGTGCGAATTGAGGTCAGCAGAATTGTCTAGAAGTCCTGGTGGAGCATGAAGGCTGGCACAAGTTAAAATGCCGGTGCTCTTGGGCATCGGATATTTTCGGATATTTTATTCCTTCACCAAACCGGATATTTAACAGCTTCACCGTTGGTCCAGCGGCCAAACAATGGAATACCTCCACTGGACTAGAAGATTTCTTCCAGAGGTTTACTCTACAGTATCCGTTGCCGGGCTGTCGTGTTGAAATTTTCAGCAGATTGCAGTGCTGTTCATACCCTATATTCGTTATGTTGGGGATTGTAATCAATCTCCCTGCTTTGCTGCCCGGATATTTTGTCACTTTGTAAGTTTTGTATCATCGGACAATTTCTCAATATGATATATAAAAGCCAGTTCATGTTCAGTGAGAGATATCTCAATATCTTGCTATCGGTCTTTCATTTTGTCTATTTTCATTGACACATTTTGGCCTTGGTTTCTCACGGTATTTGCGTGGTACGATGAGTTCAGGATATACAAGCGAGGTAAGTAGAATCTATCTTTCGTCTGGCGTTCTTTGCCTACAACAAGGACCTCATCCTCTCCTCCATTCGAGGAAGAGTGGCTAGAAGGAATTCAACTGACAGTTCACTTCAAGGGTGAGAAAACCGATCAACAAGATGACCCCTTGCAAAAGTTACCCATATATCGTCCCGAAGGTCGTTCACTTGGAGTCCTCTTTGAAGACATCACGGTTCATGGTGTTTCTGCTGGCGAAAGACGTGCTCAGGATCTCTTACGAATCTTTCAAGATGTTTTCGTCAACTGGCCAACAGGCTTACTACGTAAAGCAATACGCCCCGGCCGCTCCACGCATCCCACAAGAAAATTGATACAAGGAGTTTCCGGTGTTCTGCCTCCTGGGGAAACGCTCCTT